GTTTACCAAGTTTAGTTTCGTTTGTAACTGGGATTTGTCTTTGTAATTTTTAGGGGCCATGGCATATGCTGAGTGGGGTCCCATTGCGATGGACATCGCTGTGCGACAGGGTGGCACTGCTCAGTTTACTTTCACTTTCATTGTATGTTTTATGTCACACTAGCTGACCCGGCGAACTTTGTTCCGCCTTAATGGCAATAAATAACGGGATAAAAAGTATCCTATGTCCTTCTCCTGGCTCTAAACTATCTCTCTGACAATTTTCAGCTAAATCGGTTCAGCCGTTCTTGAGTTATAAGTGGAGTAACTAACACGACTTTATTTTATATAATAGATATATGTCTTATTTACTTTTTTTTCTATTATTTTCATCTTTTGTCTTCTGTAATGTCCATGGCAATAAATGTTTCTTTCTTTCTTAATTTTTTCTATGATGAACGAAAACATTCGCCCGTATTCACAAACATTACTATGGCGCACAGGGTGACACAGAGCTCTATTCAACGCTGTGCGTTCGATTTGCTGCTTCACTTAAGCAAGCATCGTTTGTGAATACGGGCGATTGTTTCTTTTCATGATATGAAGTCACTTGTGTTGACACAGTGTATTTCAGGTTTCTATTAGTTCTCACGAACAGTACAATACATGTAACGACGTTTGGTTCGTGAATGGAACACTTGATCATTTCGTAGAGCGGCTCTTTGTTCTGTTACAAGTAATAGGTACTATAGTCTGGTCTGCGAGCACGTAGAATTTTGTCCAATGACCCCAAGCTATCCATCCTTATCGCTCGCGTGTAATTATGTTGCTGTCGCGCCTGTGCGACGGGCGCCCGCAGTGAGTGTGCGAGCGCGATAGCAACATTATTACGCGCGAGCGACAAGAATGGGCAGCTTGGGGTCATTGGACGGGAATCTACGTGCTCACGTACCAGGCTTTACCAATACTTTAGCCTGGTCACCTTAATCCTTTTCTTTGGCCGCTGGTGGCTGCAAGCGCCTTCATCCCGAACTCCGCTCAGCCGCGACGCCGCTGCACTCGCCTGAAATTACAAAAGAACATTAATTTATCATTTTATGAAATAACAAACAAGCACAGAAAGAGTTGTGCATAACGATGCATCAAGTTAAATAGGTAAATTAGGTATTTCAGTATAGAAACTATCGTCTGCTCCTTTGATGGACATCTATTATATAAAAGAAAGTCGTGTTAGTTACTCCACTTATAACTCAAGAACGGCTGAACCGATTTAGCTGAAAATTGTCAGGGAGGTAGTTTAGAGCCAGGAGAAGGACATAGGATACTTTTTATCCCGTTATTTATTGCCATTAAGGCGGAACAAAGTTCGCCGGGTCAGTTTAGAGCCAGGAGAAGGACATAGGATACTTTTTATCCCGTTCGAAATAAAAAAAAGTCTGTTTATTTATTGCCATTAAGGCGGAACAAAGTTCGCCGGGTCAGCAAGTTATATAATATTGTTCAATATTGTATAGCAAAGCGGAAGAAAGAGGGTCAGATACTACAAGTTATCGTCTAGGTATTCTTTTAGCGCAGTAGGTAACTAGCTTAATGTGCTCAATAAAGACTAAGTATTGAAATAAGTAACATGAAACGAACCTGTCGTCCTCGCCCGCGCGACGCCACACGAGCGGAAACACTGCTCCTGAAATGTGACGTCATTGTTTGTTACTTACTTGCCATTGATTAATCTACTATATAAAAATAAGTCGGGTTTTCCTCCCTGACGCTATAACTCCAGAACGCACGAACCGATTTCCACGGTTTTGCATTCGTTGGAAAGGTCTCGGGCTCCGTGAGGTTTATAGCAAAGAAAATTCGGGAAAAGGGGGTAAAACGGGATCCACGCGTACGAAGTCGCAGGCGGCCGCTAGTATTAAATAAAAAAATCCGTAAACGAACTAAAGTCGCTGACATAGCCCGACGGACGGATTAGCAAGCTAAAGTGGCAATGGGCAGGGCACATAGTACACAGAACTGACGGCCGATGGGGCAGAAAGGTTCTGGAGTGGAGGCCGCGTACCGGAAAACGCAGCGTGGGACGTACACCTACAAGGTGGACCGACGACATCGTAAAGGTAGCAGGGAAGCGCTGGACGCAGGCCGCTACCAATCGATCAACGTGGAAAGCATTAGAGGAGGCCTATATCAGCAGTGGACGTCTTATGGCTGAAATGATGATGATGATGACGATGAAAAAAAAAATCAAATAAAACCTTTAATATAAAATGCGATAAATTAATAATCCATGCATAATATTTGACACACGTCGGCCTGCTCCACATCACAAAACATCGTTTACGAGTATGTAATGTAGGTGCATGGAGGCCTCATAATTAGAGATACAAATTGCTTAAAACAAAATAATTAACTTGTTACCATTACTTACCTCTACTTACTTGCCTTCACTTGTTCCTCGTAGGCTGTCTCCATTTGCTGGTGGTCGCCGCGATAGCTGACGGCCGTAGTGGCTGACGGTCCCGCAGTAAGCTGCAGGCACCCTGGAACGACAGAAATATAACTTTAATTTACTTCTTTGGTGTTTGGTTGAATCATCAAGACATGAAATTCTTCATGATATTAGAATAAACGTGATCCGAATGTTTTAAAAAAGTCGTCAGAGTCGCCCAGGAATCGAACCGACGTGACGCTCTCATGGACCGCAAGTTAGTAAATTTTCCATGATTTTACATCATTGAATAACACATCAACTAAAAAAAAAAGTAGTAAACTTACACAGTATGTAATAACGTCCTCATGCACATTGGTTCAGCAGCTTCTTGTAGGCTTGTTGTTCCTCAGGATGAGTAGTGCTGATGGTGACGACGACCAACCACTGTCATCACGGCGCAGTAGTAACTAAACACACGAAGCGACACAATCACAATACGGAAAAGTTTAATAAAACATAACGCGTCAACCCTCATGTTTAATGCGTAGTTTAAGCAAGTACCTATATGAGGGTATTCTTATAAAAAACACTGTGGAACTTATCTACAGTGACTGCTTTTAACATCATCAACTCATAATGATAATTACTTTGTATCATAATAAGCCACGAGCTTGACTTTCTTCTCTTACATCGTCGTGTAAGTAATGATGATAGCGCAGCACGGCTACGAGCTCCTGAACGATCTCCCATCACCCCGTAAAGCCATGATGTTTATCCACCAAAATAATCTCTCACACGGTCAATAATAATGTTATAAATCAAGCACTCACCGCATACGAAAACTTACGAGTATCCCAGATTTGCACACTATTTGTGTTTAGAAACACAAAATCAAAACTTACTCTCATAACTCTCCCCGCCCCATGTTTTGCCCTCGCTTGGCGCCAGCCACCCAGTGCTGCCAACATAACCATCTCACTCTCCTGTTTATTCCGTTTCACGCGTTGTGGATCGCGATTCGCAATTCATTTGAAATTTTATTTTATTGTCATTATTCTCATCAGACATCTGTATGTAGGGTCTCTTTTTCTATCATATAAAATGTATAGTTTAAAAAACTGCCGCCACTGAACTAGGTATCTTAAAATTATTAATTTGTCGGCGCCGGACACAGATGCTGCAAATTATTATTGATGATTAATAGTACCAATCTTAATATTATGTTATCTGTAAATCTGTAGAGCAGAAGGTTTGTGATTCCTAAACGTAACACCCGACTGATGCGCAGAAAAAGATAACTGTCAATCGGTTATGTCATGTCAAGTGTGAGCAGGCGGCTGCGAGGTTATCTTTAAAAGCGTGTTGAGTTTGGTGGAATGTTAAATTGTAGGAAAAGTGATTGTCAACCATCCAAGATATTATCTCCTTGCCCGTTAACCCACGCCAATGGAGATTCCACCTCTAGAGTTCCTTCTGATAGAGACCCAGTGCCTTTATCAGAAGTGGGATTCGAAGGGCACTATTCAAAGGAGATAAATCTTTCAGCATGCACACCTACGCTACGCAACTCATCAAGTTTTACATGGAGGATGCTGACTCAGACGTTGAAAGTTGGTGCAGGTTGACGGAAACTANGATGCTGCAAATTATTATTGATGATTAATAGTACCAATCTTAATATTATGTTATCTGTAAATCTGTAGAGCAGAAGGTTTGTGATTCCTAAACGTAACACCCGACTGATGCGCAGAAAAAGATAACTGTCAATCGGTTATGTCATGTCAAGTGTGAGCAGGCGGCTGCGAGGTTATCTTTATAAGCGTGTTGAGTTTGGTGGAATGTTAAATTGTAGGAAAAGTGATTGTCAACCATCCAAGATATTATCTCCTTGCCCGTTAACCCACGCCAATGGAGATTCCACCCCTAGAGTTCCTTCTGATAGAGACCCAGTGCCTTTAAATTAATCAATGTTAACTGGCAGAGAATACTGTAGGTAGGGTATTAAATCCGAAAATTACATTTTTTTGTGCAAAAAGTTTAAGTAATTACTGTTTTATTTTCTTTTTAAATCTTTCATTTCGTTTCTACAGTAGCACAAAAGGTTCAAGGCACTACATCTCGTAAGAATGATCAGACGAGTAAACACAATAAAACACATTTTAAAGAGTTATTTTAATTCAAAGTCAGTTTAACAATATGAAATACAAATAAATAGCTATATAATGAAACAAACAGTTGAGAGTCACAATGCAGCAGCACGCGGGCAGCGACCGTCTAGCAACGAAGGCAGGCCAGTGGTCACTCGACCCGTCTTACTTGCTACACACNCAAACAGTTGGAGTCACAATGCAGCAGCACGCGGGCAGCGACCGTCTAGCAACGAAGGCAGGCCAGTAGTGGCATAGTGGTCACTCGACCCGTCTTACTTGCTACACTGGGTCGCTGCGTTACAATAGAGCCAAAGATAAAATACAAATAATGCCAGAACGTGACTTACGAACATATTTATTAGCATCGAGCATGACAATTACAAAAACATGTGACGCATAACATCGTTTCTCAGGTTGTGTATAACTCATTAATGTGTAAAAATACGTTAAATTTGAACACTACGCGGATCCTAATAACTATTATTGCTTTGTTTCCACGCATTTTTAAACATTCCCCATTCGAAGCTTGAACCCAACGCACGGATATGTGATGTCTCGTGTTCGCAAGCCACGAACGTTCGTCAAGGATTCGCGCTGACGCGTGACGTACAGACCATTACTAAATCGAGTATTAAATTACAAAAGGTTGGTCCTATAATTATAAGAACTGCTACTGCGGAGCAGGATCGCGGTACAGGACTGACGTCATTAAGTTAATTGATCTTATGTTTTGTACTTAGGATTTCAGTGGTTAGCTACCTAACTCCTCACGTATGTAGTCTCAATTGTAATATCACTGCTACACAATGATCACGCCAGTCCTATTGGTACAAATCGGTAATCACACTTAAGTAAATCGGCTTTAGCTGTCGCCAGCTATGAATAATCCGGCACTCACGAGCTAAGGACACACATTACAATACTCAGAAAAAATACCAATACTTAATTATTGAGCAACAAGTTGATAGCTCGCGTTTCGCGGGTGGAGCGCCTGAGGCAAAGGGCTCACTTTAATAACGATCCTTACTAGTGGAAATTAAATTATTAATTGGCAATTAGCGCGTTACCCAAAGCCCTACCTCTATCTCTTCTTGTCGTGTCGACAGCAAACCTACACAGTGTCCGCCCAAAACTCTGCTACAAGAGTGGAGTTGTCAGTAGCATTCAAGTCTTCCTGCGTGCAGTTGGTTGGGCACGCAGGGCATGTCATCATGTGCTTCATCGACTGAGGAACAAAACCACACTTGCACTTCGGGTTTGAACCATCTGAGAATCCCTACCTCTATGATATCTCCCAAATAACCAAAGGTTTTTTTTTTATGCTAGCCAAGGCAGGTATTTGACCGCAATCGCACCTGGTGTTAAGTGAGATGCAGTCTAGGATGGTACATATCTACAGTGTTGCCAGTTCCAAGTAGTCCATTAAACCAGGAAGTAACACTACGCTATTAAAGTGAGCCCTTTGCGGAGCTGGAGAATGCTACGAACTATAAAGATAGTGCGTCTATTAACTCTTGAGGGTGCACAACAAAATGGATCGACGTTATGCGAAAATCTCCCTGCACCAAGCTATATAACATTTAACTAGTCATCTATTAAATTCACTTTGGTGTTATAACGCGTAGGAGGTAGCTTCTTCAATATACTATTTAACCACAGCTTTAGATAATTTTGTATCTATTGTCTATAAATTTATAAGTACTATAATTTTATTGAACATCCATTTATCAAGGAGCTATTAGCCGACGCAAAAACCTTAATTTCCAATATAAAAGGTGAACGCTCACGACACCCAACATTCGAGAACCTACCGCACTGACACACCACCGGGCCTGGACGAGGGAATGTTGCCAACACAACGCAATAACGAATAAGTGTTGCCATTCGTTACAGATAAAATATCAGTTAGTGCAGAAAAATGGCTGAAAAATTAGTAGTTTCCAGAAAGTGTTAACACGTCCAAGCTCAGTACATCATACTCACACCTTGACCACACCTACTTTACAATTTTACATGAAATGTGAACGGTTTAGGACCCATCGAAGTTTCTAATCCAAACAATAGATATCGAGTACGTTACAAAACATCTTTACATTAGAAACTGATTACGCAATTCGTAAATATTCGTAAACTTTAAATACACGAATTTAGAATTTGTTTGACGGTTTTTATAAACATCTATTTATTCAAAGTAAAGATTACAAACGACACTATAATATAAGTGCAACTCGGATGAGGAACGACGCGGCGCCGCAAGCGCCATTCGATCGTGTTCGTTTACTTATTAATCGTATAGAAAATTTATTGCATAGTGCGGCTCTTCGGCCATCGACGCATCACAATATGTGCTTTACTTAGTCTCGAAAACTACTACACACACTAAAGGCCCTGAAACTGGAACGAACCGCGCAACTCATTGATCACCACACCAAGCGGACCCAAACTGGCCTCAAACGGGCCCGATTCTGTTACATCTTGTCAAATTAGTAACTTTCGACTTTCATTTTACATTTAGGAATCAATGGAACAATTAGAAATAACAGAATCGGTTTTCAGGAACCGAATTATTTGGAAAATAAACAGCAAATGATCGCTAACAGCAACCGTAATATCGTTTCAAATAAAGTCACATGGCTCGCTACACACACCAGACACTTTACAATAATTCATGCAAAAATACTTTTATATGTTCACTATGATTACACGGGCGTTACATACAGGGCTATGTACACGCTACTCTACGCTATCGTAATGGACAGTGCCGCGACCGGCCGTCCCGGCTGAAGCAGTGGCAAGACTCTACGTCACACTCTCTAACAATTTGGTAAATTTTTACACGACTGACAACACTCGAGAAAGTTTATGATCAATTGATACATTTTTACAATAATTACAGATCATTTACAGAAGCGGTCGGCCACATCACATCTAAAGGGTAGTGTACACGTTTTAAAATTAGAGACAATTGACAAATAGAAGTTGAACATTTCACAAAACAAACATCAATAATTATTACTATGATAAAGATTGCAATGTAAAGGTTACAACATTTAGTTTTTCATTTTGTACAATTTATGTTCATAATTGTAACGACCCAATTTATTATTGTAATCGTTCTGGGATAGCAAAAGATATCTACAATCAATCGTAGCGTGACAACTTCATAATTAAAAACTCGAAACAAAGTGGTCCCTACATACTATTTCGATTTTTTCGTTCATTTTAGACATTTCTAAAGTACAACACCGTTACGTAATTTTTGTAAATATAATAAAAAATCTTATTAAATACTCCAATAAACTGTGAACAAGCGTTATTGGCAGCTTGTGTAATGTTCCAAGCGTTCCGAAGCTCCGCGAGGAAATACTAAACTTTGGCACTTAGTGATATGCTACAACTACTAAGGTACTGTTTCTGCCTTGAACTTAGTGCTCGAATAGCAAACTTCAAATAAAATTAAACCTGAAATTGAAATGTATGTGCAACCTGTATGATATTTAAGAGCAGCAAAAAAACATTTTTCTTTAATTGATTGCCAACAAAAATATAATATTTTTAAAAAATAATTGGCAACAAAAAATTAACGACATTCGAGTCCACTTTTTACCGAATCAAGTCAAGAAAAGAAAAAAATACAGCATAACTCGAATACCTCATAACTCGGGGATAAAAAGAGGCAAATAAAAACAACTCAAAATACAATAGCAGTGCATTTAATAAAATAAAAACGACTGAGCACAACGAGGCGGACGAGACGCGCGCTACGGACGACTGGCAGGCGACTGACGGGCGACTGACGGGCGACCGACGGGCGACCGACTGGCGACTGCCAGGCGACCGGCGCGATGTGATCACATCTTATGGCGCGGCGGGCGCGCGGCGCCGCGCGAGCGAGACACAGCGCGGCCGCCGCGATGCTTTGGTAAAATGGCTGGCGTTTGGACATCGGGCCGAGTGACAGCTGTCAAAATATATCTCTGCCTGCTAGAATATTTAGATAGCTGCAAATACAATAAATGTCCTCGTGTGGCAACTACAATTATTGCCATATAATAAAGAATTGCAATAAATGTGAAAGATATGAGCACTCGCAAACCAGGTGGACAAAAAGCAGATGTCATTTGTTTGACAGCTGTCACTCCTCCCGTCAATATTTACTATTACAGATTCCGGTCAATGCGGCGTGGCACAGCACAAACAAACTAAAATAACAATACATTTTTTAATTTCCTTTTACAATAAAAAAGTTAAGTATAATTTTTGATTTATTCAACTAGCCTAGCATAATTCACACAATTTGAAAAGTCAGGTATATACGCCGCACGACAGACGGAGTCGGCAGATCCGATATGTAGACAAGACGTGCACGCGTCCACTAGTAACGTACACAATTGTTTGCCTCTCGCTCGCACCTATGCTAGCACGAGCGAGAAGCGTACACTATTGTCTACGTAACTGTGATATGCGTTAGTTAAAAGTAATATAATATGAGCGAAAAACGAAACAATATTATGCGGTTGGCAGCCCTGCTCGACAAAACAATTCATGCAACGCAAAACAATAAAAATTTCAATAACAATTACTGTAATTTGGAAATACATTTTACACGATGAAACAATCAGAATTAAAGAAAAACAAACTCAAATTACATTAGTATTTTTTGAAAATATTAACCAATCAACAATAGTAAAAACAATAATTAAATTAATGTTCTACCAACTGATAAAATGAACTATCTTGTAAAAAAAAAAACATAAAATTCAACTAAAAAACTTACAATGTCTCACAGAGCTGGCCAACTGCAATCAAATATGAACCTTATTGCTATATAACACGGAACCAGTCCGCAGGAAGACACACTAATCCGTGACATTCCGTATTCTACACAGATTGTAACACAAGCGTCATAAAACACATCACAATAGTCTACAAAATTTAAAAAAACATATCTATTTACTGTATTCTTTACACGAGAAATTCTAAAAGAGAAATGACTCATTTATAATTTTCAATGTTACAAAAATAGTGTTACAATCCGTGCAAAATGTAACAATACATAAAACTCGACCACCGTCACAATCACAACGTTACAATTTACGTAAAACCAAAACTAACAAAGCGGCAAACGTTAAAATACTGGAGACAAAAATAATATATAAAGGGAAGCGCTTAAAGAAATAAAATGCCAGATAATAATCGTAGTAACTACCTTAACTAGTAAACGATACAACTATACAAGGACGAAGTGGTGGGGGCGCCTCGCTCGCCGCTTGCAACTCGATAATTCAGTAGTTTTAACGTCGTGTTTACATTTCTTAGTTCATTAATGCCAATATTGTCAATTTCTTCGTTTCTCTGAACCCCATATAGTTTGTTTGTGGTTTTATCGAGTGTCAAGTCGCGAGTGGCGCCCCCTATCAGGCCGGGAAGTACTCGCGATGGACAACAATCAGAAACATGGCACGAAGCCCCGAGCTACGAGCACAAAGTGTTACGTCACCACAAACCGTAACGCAGTGAAGATTTTGTTAAAATGTTTGGATGCGATTCATATGTAAGTACACCGTGCATTGATTAAAAAGCAGAAGCTGGATATCAAACCTCGGGGCTGTTAGAGTCACAAGAAAAACAAACAGAATTACGTATATTAAATAATTCACCAATATTAGTACCTACTGTAGCAATTTACTCATTATAGGTTCGCAGTTGGTTAATTCTACTCAACCTTCAATGGTTTATAATTTGTTTCAGTATTGCACATTTCGTTAAACTTTTGATTTTTTTTTGTCAACTATAAATCTATTGACTTGCCATAATTTCAAGTCTCTTTAAATATTGCTTTAACTATAATATTGCCAGAATACATTAACTTGCTTAAGTGTGATCTCCTTTTACCAACAACATAAAAATATATTGGTTGTGAATGAGCTGAGGTTGCGGAAATAATTAGGAAGTGTCCCACTTTGAGTTACAAATATTGGTGAAATTTATAATATCAATGATATACGCAATAATTGAATAATACAAAATAACAAGTACAATTAAAACACACTGAGAATGTTAAGTGTTTAGTAATATCATTTGGAAAGGTATGGAATGAAATCGAATGGACATTATTGGGTTTTTGAGATGTTTGCATCAATAAAACAGATTTTAGGTACCAGATTTTACCATTTTTTCTCACAAAGACGATTTAGATATTTCATAGGGACATTTTACAATGATTAGTAACATTCTTTCTTTTTTTGCAAATCTCAATTTTGATAATTTCTATACAAAGGTAGGTACCTAAATTCTGTTTTACCTTTAGAGAATCCATCTGTGAATATTGGCTGCTAACTACTGCCTGCCGCGGAGCCGCTCTGACGGAATAGCAAGTAGCAGAAAGGCAGAGAGCTGGCAACGACGCGAAATTTACACTATCCGATGAGTCTTTGTCATTTAAAATCAACCCTAGAGCAAACATGTAGCACAAGCCTAATTAACTCTTAATAAGATAAGTAGGTAACATACTGGTTTAACGACCGTATTTGCCATTGGGTCGTATGTCGACTGCATTGTTTGTTAATGATTACCTACAATCTAGTTGTGATGACAATCTACGAAATCTAAAAAAAACGAACGAAAAACAATGAGAAAAAGTTCATTAACGTTGCCAGCACTTCCCAGAAAAACGAAGCCTTCGTTATTAATTTAAGTAAAGTATGTACACGTCTCTATGAGAGACAACCTTACTCGATAGGATATGTTACACGACACAAAATAAAACAACAAGATTATTGTCGAAACAAAGCAAACTAACACTTCGCTAGAATTCATTAACTTTATTGCTAGAATCAGTTAAAAACAAGCAATAAGGCACATCAAGTGAGAGTAAATAAAATAATTCATGTCTATAATTATTGTGATAAAAGAAAAGATCTTCTAGAAATAATCCAACCGATCTCCCAGAATTGATGGACTGCGTTCGTTCCACTTTTATAATTTTGGCCACTCGATCCTTCTTGCCAGAATACATTAACCTGCCAGAATTGGTTAAAGCGTTTGTCAGAGCGTCCCGCAAACGTCACGCATACAAGCCAGACCTACTAGTTTTAGCACAATTTCACAACCAGGAGCGGGATACTGTTGTCTCTTTCCAGCCAGGATGGGACCTTGCCCCATTTCTCGCTTGTTCCCAACGAGTCACACCTAAACGAGTAACACTGTTACAAAGAGTAACACTGTTACAAATTAATAGTAACACTGTTACAAAGAGTAACACTGTTACAAATTAATAGTAACACTGTTACAAAGAGTAACACTGTTGCTCGTTGGGAAAAAAATCTTATCCAGTCACACCCTTACTCGTTAACCTGTATATTCTTACTGTAAGCATTAGAGTACTTAATTATTTTGATTTTTATTGTATTTGCACATTGTTTTTTTTTAGAATAAAATTTCTTATATCCCGAAATTAAAGGTGCTTTATGTGTATGATCAGTACCAGTGTTACTGGATGGGAATGTTTTTCCCAACGAGTTTGGGTGTGACTCATTGGGAACAAGCGCCATTTCTGAACTCTAGACCTCTCTCCCATATAAAAGCTACAGCTACTCCGATGGCTCTTTATGAGAATAGAAATATAAATTGTTCTTTCCTAAAGATTCAAGATATTAAGCGATACGTTACGCTCTTTAGCTCGCTCGAAGAACCAACATGTAACCCAGTCCCAGCCAAGTACGCGTCGTGCCGAGGCGAAGTGAACCCTACCCACGTATACATACAGGCGGTTATTGCACGTGCGGACCACAACGAGCGTGCGACCGGCGGCTAAAGATGTATGATTTTGTACTTTATTATCATTGACATAAATACTATTGTCGGCAGAGGCGAGACTTTTTACACTATTGCCGCTAGATGGCGCTAAACCACACATTCGCTCTTGCTACTTGGATATTCGTTAAGTTTTGTGATTTTGTCTACGCCTTTGGAATTTACTTGGGAATAACTTTTATAAATACTATTGCATTAAGCCGCCGACCGCGCAAACACATCCACCCAAAGATTAAAAACAAACAAAAAGAAGTCAACACAAACATACAACAGGAACACCATTCAATATATTTATCCATGTACATAACGACCTGTCTCTGATATTCCACCAATGTAACACACATTCAGTTTAACGAATACTGTAAATAAAGATTTCTTCCGTCTCTGTAACAAAAGTTCATTTATCCAGCATTATTAGATGATCAAATGAACTTACCAATAGTGAAGTTCAATCTAAATTATCTTGTTTTCACGGAACAGATGTAAAATATTTATGATGGTTTTGTAATGTTTATTTTTTTGACGATTGAAAACTGAACTTTATGTGCACATTGACAGAAAATCAAGAAAACTTAGTCTTAAGTTTAGGAAAATAAAAGAAGTGTAAAAACGCGGCTGCGTCGCCGGGGACCAACGCTCCGTTACTTCATACAACGATAACAATTCGTGTAACACACAATAACACATGGTGTAACAATGTTAACAATAATGTAAAAACAAAAACGTATATACTATTTGTTATTTACGATAAGCAAAAATAATTAATTGCACTATTACATTTAACGAAAATTAAATAAACAACTTTTTTTTCTTATAAAATTTTACATTTTTTCGTAATTATTTAAACTTTTTTTTCGACTAATTCTTTATATTGCATGAGAAACACCCCAATTCATAATGAATCAATAAATTGATCTAAGAATTGCACAAATTGAATTATCTAAAATTGATCCCAAAGGAATCAGCGCGTCCGATTGCACGAGTTAGTTGCGACTTAACTAAAACTGGCGTCAGTCCCCCGGCGCCGCTCAGGCCTCAACTAAACGACTAAACTAACGCAACTAAGGCCGACTAACATGCTTACACCCAACTAACTTACGTGAGGATCATTCCGGGGCGCGGTAACTCCAAAATTAATTAACAACTAAATTGACGGGTTATTTCGTCGCCACTTTGTCGAGCGACGACACTAAAGCGAAGGAATCATTGTTAGAAAGGAATATTACGATATTTTGGCAAACGCACTTCAAGCGTCCTGGCACTTAATACTACACGATGCGAAAACGACTTTAACACTTCACAAATAGCGTCCAAAACCTATTACGCGGAAACTTAGATGTTACAGTCTGACCGGTGAACATTGACACTTTAGCGTTAAAATCGTCCGTGTGAACCAACACCGGGCAGACTGCGTTTTGTTCGAATTTCACGTCAAAATCGGGGGTCCTATTTTAAAGCTAAGGATCAGCCAAAAAAGGACCTCCGACCGTTTCAAACCGCCTACAACTAACAAACGTAAACCTAAAAAGTTCAATTCACAGTCTCACACAAATATGACCCGTATGCGATCAAGCTTCGCGCGCTTCACTACACTTTAGCCTTCATGTCAAATCCTGTTTCCACATTTTCATTTTTCTTCGATTCGCGTCAGTAGATAGCGTTAAAAGTGTCGCCTTCTCGGTACCGCTGGCGGCGGCGCGGCGCGCAGTATGAGTCGCGGCAGCAGCACTAGTAGAAGCCCGCGGCCGCGACAGGCCCGGCCGGCGGGGCGGGGGCGCGCGCGGTGCGGGGCGGGGACGCGCGCGCTGAGTCACTCGGAGTTGTTGAAGTACTCCGACGCGTTCCCGCGGCAGATTGGACACGTGCGGTTAGACTGTGGGAAGTGATAATTAGATCAATAAAAATACTGCATACATTTACCAAGTAATACCAGGCCTGTTCATCTCCGCGAGTTTACATCGAAAACAAAACACGCACGATGGCCCACCTATAGGATACTAGTCGACAAGGCCTCATATACGAGCGAACATTGACTCACGCACGCGTATTCTTGTGTATGATGGAAGAAAATAAAGAAAATGGTGTACTAAATACTGTGCAGTATTTAACTGCCTAAATAATAATAAAAACACAGAATGTACTTTTTTAAGTTGCCTCAAGACACTGAGAGGTAAATAAGTAGTTAATATTATTCATGATAATTCATGATAAATCATGTATTTCCTCCGCCATTTTCCGCAGTTTGGCACCTCACGTCACATCATTTTACCGAAGTCAGCGCTATAGCTTCGGCGCATTGCCGATCACTGACGTTTGTCAACAAAATGGTGCTTGACTCTTGAGACAGGCTAAATTACACCATATTGTTAATGACATTGAGCATATATTTTTTTAAATACCTTCGCGAAGTAAAACTTCTGTACGTAGTACTTATATTATTATTCTGTGGTAATACGTTGTTTGTGTTTTGTAGTGACCCCCAATATTGCTCAATGAAAGAGATATTAAATATGAGTTGAGGTCTCAGCGAAGTGTAGTGACTTTGCTGAGACCTCAACTCATATTTCTACTGAATCTGAAGCGAAACCTTAGTCTCATAGACAGCAAAATAAGCCTCCCCCAATGTTTGCGTGACTGGCCGTTTAGCAGCAGTCAGCATCCAGCGCCTTCCTACTACCTTTACAAGGCCATCTGTCCTTGTGTGTGGACAGTGGAAAATACTGGACATCCTATATATTTATAAGAATAAATAAAGAATGTAAAGTGAAGCCTCGAACTTGCTCGTGCACACCACGCACGTCGCCTGCCGCCTGTCCCGTACAAGTTGCAGAGCAGGGGTGTCCAACTCAATTTCGTGGAGGGCCAGGATTAGTATTTTTGTAACCGTAGCGGGCCAAAAAATACCCATTAGCGAAAGTATTGGTAAGCACTCTAGCACATATTATTAAGGATATCCGCCGCGGGCCGGTTGAAGGGCTTATTGGGGCCGTATGTTGGACGGGCCTGAGCTAGAGTAACGGGAGCATCNGTGTGAACTAACACCGGGCAGACTGCGTTTTGTTCGAATTTCACGTCAAAATCGGGGGTCCCTCTCTAAAGCTCGGCGACAAAAAAGGACCTCCGACCGTTTCAAACCGCCTACAACTAACAAACGTAAACCTAAAAAGTTCAATTCACAGTCTCACACAAATATGACCCGTATGCGATCAAGCTTCGCGCGCTTCACTACACTTTAGCCTTCATGTGAAATCCTGTTTCCACATTTTCATTTTTCTTCGATTCGCGTCAGTAGATAGCGTTAAAAGTGTCGCCTTCTCGGTACCGCTGGCGGCGGCGCGGCGCGCAGTATGAGTGGCGGCAGCAGCACTAGTATCGGCCCGCTGCCGCGGCAGGCCCGGCCGGCGGGGCGGGGGCGCGCGCGGGGCGGGGCGAGTCACTCGGAGTTGTTGAAGTACTCCGACGCGTTCCCGCGGCAGATTGGACACGTGCGGTTAGACTGTGAAAAGTAAATGTTTAGATCAATAACTAGCATACATTTACTAATTAATACGTTGTTTGTGATTTATATCAACGACAAATAATGATAATTGGTCAATGCAAGGGTGATATTAAATATCAGATGAGTTCTCAGCAAAGTCACCACATCTTTACTGAATCTCAAGCGAAATGTCTATAGCTGAACATAGGCCTCCCACAATGGTTTCCAGATTAGCTGGGCGTTGTGTCTTCCTACAATCTCCATGAGGCCATCTGTCCTTGGGGGTAGACATCCCACGTATTAGAAGAATAAATGAAGAATGTAAAATGAAGCCTCGAACTCGCTCATACACGTCGCCTACTGTGTCCAACACAATTTCATACAAAATAAATTTTATGAAATCCGATTTATATACAAAAAATAATGTTGTATACCATGTTTTTTACGCAAATAAAATTGTGATTCTGATTGATCGTACCCGCAGCCACTTGTCGACGCACTTGGCGTGGAACTCGTGCGCGCACGGCAGCACGCGCAGCGTCTGGCGCGCCTCGAACTCGCTCATGCACACCACGCACGTCGCCTGCTCGCCTGCAAGGGACATAAACAAACTGTATTACTGCCGCGTCACTAATGCACAGTCAGTATAAACACAAGCAGTAAACAGATGATGAGAACTCAAAATAGTTTGTAGTCGAATTAATTAGATGAGAAGAACAACTAAAGACAATTATTTGGGCATAACTTTACAAAATAAGAAAGAAATAAATACGTATTGCAGTAGTACAATTGTTATACAACTTCAAGATGTATTTTCAAGAGACTCTGGCGAAGACGTCGTACTTATTTCCAAGTCAACTTTACCCGTAAAGCTGTGTACGGGTCCCGTGGACTGAAATCGGTATAGCAACGAAGATCAGTCCTCTGGCATGTCACATACAACAGTGTAATTGCAGTAATTATCATTCCCCTGGCCAGCTCTTAGCACCAACCGTCTCCAACGAGTGTCAGTCCCCTGGCATGTCACTTTCACTGGCACGTCTNTAATAATATTTTTTCGTTAATTTATGAAAATATCAAATTAGCCCGTAATCCTGAATCCTGATACATAAAGTTAGCCTATTAATTTAACACAGGTACGACTGTACTCAGTGTTGCACTATCAAATGCAATTGACGCGCCTCTATGCCAGGGTTTTTATGTTCCTGGTCAGGCTATATACCATGTTTTTACGCAAATAAAATTGTGATTCTGATTGATCGTACCCGCAGCCACTTGTCGACGCACTTGGCGTGGAACTCGTGCGCGCACGGCAGCACGCGCAGCGTCTGACGGGCCTCGAACTCGCTCATGCACACCACGCACGTCGCCTGCTCGCCTGCAAGGGAAACAAACAGTATTACTGCCGCATCACAAATGCACAGTCAGTAAACAGTTGCTGGAACTCAAGATAGTTTGGGGCAGAATTAACTTTCGAGATGAGAAGAGAAATACAATATTACTTGGGCATAACTTTATAAAATAAGAAAGAAAAATACGTATTGCAATATTCAAAATTCAAATATTTTATTCAGTACATAGGCCCTTTCCAGGGCACTTATACACAGTTTATACAGCTAGCGCTCTTCAAGATGTATTTTCTAGAGACTCTGGCGAAGACGTCGTACTTATTTCCAAGTCAACTTTACCCATGAAGCTGTGTGTACGTGTCCCGTGGACTGAACTCGGTATTGCTACGAATATCAGTCCTCTGGCATGTCACATACAACGGTGCAATTACAGTAATTACCAGTACCTTGGCCTGCTCTTAGCTCCGACCGTCTCTGACGAGTGTCAGTCCCCTGGCACGTCACTTTCACCTGTACATCAGCAGCGCCTCAGTCCCCTGGCACTCACCCTGGTGCGTCTGCGGCGAGTACTTGTAGCTGGGCAGCTGCTCGATCTCCTGGCGCGCCAGCCCGCGCGGCTTGGCCTCGCCCAGGCGCTCGGCGAGCGACAGCAGCGCCTCGTAGTTCTCTGTCTCGGGCGACTCGCCCGCGTCCTCGCGCGCCTCCGCGTACGGCGACACCGGGAACATCGCCAGCAGGTTCAGGAACACCTGCGGGTGGCAAGGGACTGTTAGGTACACGTGACAACCAAACTTTCGATATGCGAAAGTATATGAGACGATGGCCGTTGGGGCAGTAAAATTTTTCGAGTGGCAACCACGGGCTGGAAGACGTAACGTGCCCACTAGGTGGACCGACGATCTGGTAAAGATCGCGGGAAGAGCCTGGATGCGCGCAGCGCAGGACCGTGCATTGTGGAAAACCTTGGGGGAGGCCTTTGCAGTGGACGTCATTTGGCTGAAACGAACGAACGATATGAGACTTATGTGACCGAATGTGCCTGTTGGTAGTTATTCTAAGGACAGGCTCAGAACACCAAAAAAGTCTGGTGACGCTGATGAAAAAATAAGGTTCCTCATTTATTTTATTTATTTAATAGGACAACCAACAAGTCATACATTAGAAGACAATCAATATTTACAACGTATTTAATTTTTTTTTTATTAACAGTTACTTCACTTACTTTCTAATTGTCTAACAAAATTACATTTTTCAAATAACTACACAGAAACATTATATCGCAATGAACCACTAACCTGATACGTAGGGGGAGGGGGAGGCAACGACAGTGGCGACGCCACGTGCAGTTGAGGCAACGCCGCGCCGACTAGTCCGCCGCCACCCTGAGGGAATAGACACATGATAAGGTCATCTTCTTCTACCTACTACACCATGCATGGTCACCCCTGCCGAAACTACCACCTGGGTCTTCAACTCGGCAGAGCTGCCTGCCGTGTCGGATGGCCCGTGCGCACATTCTAAGTGGCCCTACACCACAGTGCGTACGGCCCTAACCGTCTGGCGCGTCGGCGACTCTGCGGGCCTACCATCTCGAAGAACCAAACCACATCACCATCAACGCTAGCGAGGACAGTGGTTTGAATATACTACCACCGGTGACGAATCTTGTGCGATACGATAGTTTGCTCGACAACCCACTCCCTAAGAGTTCTCACTACTATAAATCTAAATAAATTACTTGTTAACTTAAATCTATCTTTTATTTATCTAACTTCTAATCTAAATTCTATTATGTCACTGCCTCTAAAGCCACAAACCGTGACACAGTGTCTTAGCCTGATGAGTGATTGTTCAGAAGAACAGTTGACACTTAACTTACTAAAATAAAAGACCACCAGCTGTAACTACAAACAAGAATTCTCTAAGTAGTCGCATCAAATTGAAAAACATTTTTCCACAAATTCACCTGGACAGGAACAAGTTCCGTAACGTATTTTCTTGATTTTGGAAAACATACAGCTTATAGTTTAATACTGTTAATTCAATTAGGCTTTGTCTGACGCCTATCCTCCTGATAAACAGCAGCTACAGCTCATAAATTGTGACACCATGGTTATATTGAAACCTCAGTAGTTACAAGTTGTAACTTACAACTGACATAGTAATTGATCTACCCAACTCACCTGCGCATGTATGTGGTGTATCGTGTGGTGCGGCCACCGCGGCGCGTGCCGCACGTAGGGCCGCGCCGCGCGCGAACCCGAGCCCACCACGCCCACGCCCACGCCAACTCCCACGCCCACGCCTGAGCCCACGCCCACGCCTGAACCGCTGCGACGCTGGTGAGACAAATACAATGAGCTATGTAATAAATAACACCAATTACAGAAACAATGTTGTTTTAAAGTGCCGAGACATTCCACCAGCTCGCACTAAGCGTTTCGCTAACTCTTTTATAATGCGAACAGCTAGGGACTGAAACTCGCTGCCAGCAGCTGCCTATCCCAAACACTATAGTCTATAATCCGAGCCTTTCCAAGGCAAGAGTGAGAAGACAAAAAAGAAATCAAACCGAGGACCATTGCATCGTCGGGCTTTGAAATATTTTTGTGGAACTACTAGAGTATCGTTGTAAGTACGTAATTAAACATTAAGACAAAGTAAAAGCTTTTATTCAAGAAGTGGCGGAAGAAACTCAGTCAACTTTGTCACCTTATGAAAATAAATAATAATCTTCAGTTCATAAATTAACTGAGATTTCTACGCTAGATTTCTATAAAATAAAATAATGATAAACTTACGTGATGATGGTGTGAGAGCGCGTGCCTCGCGTGGTGAGGAGCCATCAGCTCCAGGGGACTACCGCGCGCCTAGAAAAAAAAACGATAAATTAAAATAAACATTAATACCTAAACACAATAAAAAGTACACATAAGATTTTCTCTCGGTATAGTTTGAGTGACGAACTGAAAATAAATAACTTGTAGCATAATTCATGTAGCACCTAAGGCCAGTCTAAATACATTCCCCATTTAAATCCATTCTTATGCCGTGATCAGTCCCCTGCCCTGCCGTGATCAGACCCCTTCTCTGCCATCATCAGCCCCCTGCTCTGCCATGATAATTCCCCTGCTCTGCCATCATCAGTCCCCTGCTCTGCAGCGATCTTTCCCTTCTTTGCCATTATCAATCCACTACCCTTCCATGAACAGTCCCCTTGCCCCGCCGCGACAGTCCCCTGCCACGTACCTCTGTGGCGAGCAGCAGCGGCGCGTGATGTAGATCGGGCGCGGCCTGCAGTGGAGATAGCGCGCCCTCGCCGCCACCTAACATCTCCAGGCGACCACCTTCAGCGCGCTGGAAGAATATTACACGGGGTTGTAACACTAATAAATAAGCATAATAATAAGTGCAGAGTTACAGCTCCCGTAGCAATGTAAAAAAGATCCTGTAACTTTTCATTTCAGTCATATTAATCTAGTACAGACTACAGAAACTGAATGCAAAAATATAATAACTTTAAAAAATTGGTTGATTTGTCAAATTAAGTAAGCTTTATTGAAAGATAGAATCATTATCATTAAAAGCGTGGGTGAACGCTTCTGATGCCAGAATGAGACTCTAGCTAGCAGCTCTTGCTCCCGCTGAATCAGTAGCGTTGGAAGTCATTGGACCTTTTTCACTGGCATTTCAAGGAGGGATAGGAAGTCGAGTAGTAGTCTATTACATACAGGCCGTGCTCGCTGTGGCATTCTAAGGGGGAGATGGGAAGTCAAACAGTGGTCTCTCAGAGGCCGTGGCTCATGCACTATACTAGGGATGTGACATTGTAGTTAAAAAATCGATTTTTAATTAATCGTTTTTTTTTTCTTGAAAAATCGATTAATAAATAATCGATTTTTCTTAAGAAAAAATCGATTTTTCTTAAGAAAAAAGTCGATTTTACTATATAAATAGAAAACATTGACGCCATTAGAAACGTTAGATATTTTTGTTTTTTTGTAAACCCTTTGTTACTTTGTCAAAACTGTATACGTGACATTGGCGAAATCATGGTTCTCAAAACCAAACCGTTGCCATAATGAAAGAAGAAGAAGATGAGGCACTGGACTCTCATACTCACCTGCGAGCCGGCGAGGTAGTGCGCATGGTGCGCGTGGTGCGGCGGCGAGGCGAAGGGCGCACGCGGCGCGAACCCGCCGTGGTACTGCAGCCCCGCGTACACGCCGCCCATCTGCGCACGCCGCCGCGTCAGCTCGCGCCCGGCGGGGGACTGACACGACACTCAGGCCCGCGCCGTGAACGTCACACTCGAGCCGCCGAGTAACGGCTCAAAAACTGAACTCCGACAAACGTTACTTCGACATTACGTTACTCCGACACTACTGAATATCGACATGACTTTACTTCGACAAAGGCGAATATCCTTTGTCGGAGTAGTGTTGTGTCGAAGTAAAGTCATGTCGATATTCAGAAATGTCGGAGTAACGTAATGTCGAAGTAAAGTCATGTCGATATTCAGAAATGTCGGAGTAACGTAATGTCGAAGTAAAGTTTGTCGGAGTTTACTTAGGTAGCCCCGAGTAACGTTCATGATACGGACCTTTGAGTTGATGGGTCTTTGAATATAATATGTGATATTTACTCAGAAATAAGTGTCTCAAATATGACGCAATGATTTTAATTATCTTTATGAAAACTTTAAACAATTTTTAAGTTACATGAGTGTTGGCGTTGTTTAAATTTTGTTTTATGGTAAGTTTTTCAATGTCAAGATGCCAAATAACAAAGATTGAAAGAAAAAGAAAGAGTATCTTTCGAATAAAGAAATATATTTCTAGCACATCATTTCAAAGACACATCAGCAATTCTTTTAATTTTATCACGCATGTGTCGTGTGTATCCCCCTCGAGCGTTATAACCCTCTCCATATTATTCGGTGCGAGTGTACCACGATTTTCTCACTTTTGTGACTCAAGGATAAAAATCAGTCGAGAAAATATAAGATAGCAGTATCAGATGTTTAAGAAAGATTTCTTTTAGGGAATGCATTTGGAAATATGAGAATATCGTGGTATACTCGCCGCCATATTAAGACAAAAACCATAAACCATAACAGAAACAGCACTTTTGAGTTCGGTTAAGCGTACAGATTCTCGTCTCGTCCTATGAAGCGGTCAACATGACATACGCGGGAATGTATAAATAAATAAACAAGCCGTCGAGAAATCATTATGACATGAAGTAAAACGACATGCTTAAATATAATATAATAATATTAAACGATTTACATAAACGTGTCTGAGACAATGAATCGGCAAATAAACAATAATGAGGAAATAAAATGTATAATAATATAAATATATTTAAATATACACCACCAACAGTCTTACGCTAAGGACAGTGCCGATGAATATAAGATAACTAGGGGTAATAATATAAATATACAAAACGGTGAGATTGTATGACATGAACACACTGAAAGTAGAACGAGAAAAAAACCTAGTGCTCCACTACTGCTATTGAAAGTAAATCACAGCGCCCGTGTTACACCGCCCCCGCGAACATCACTCGCCAGCGATCGGTTAAATTGGAATTTTGTTATTGGTCACATTTAAAGAGCATATTTTAGGAAACAGCCAAATTCTAATAATAATCAAAGCGACCAGCCAAATATTTTTTATGTATCTGTTTGGAAACAATCTACGAAATATCAAAGCTCAAGTTGCTAGCGGCAAAATTTCCTAAGTAAACAAGTGTAGCGATAGCCGCAGGGAAAATCGACCAGTGTGGTTCAGAATTCGGGCGCGCACGGACAAACGCCGAGCGGCGATTGGCTGCAGGCGCCCGCGACCCCCGGCCACACGGGGCGAGTTTTGCTGCGGCCAAAAATACACGTAAAACACGGAACACATTCACAGGGTATTGAAGAGTGTGGGAAATCGAAGCATGCTGTACACGAAGAATAAAATATAATTTTAAAATGTGGGGTTAGTCAAAATATTTGGAGGGTCGCCGTCGACCGGGAGGTGTGAGCCTGGGCCCGGCGGAGGCCTATCGCTAATGCCATCAGCAGCTAGACCGGTACACAGTAAGTATGTACAGAACCAAACAGTATATGAGCTCGTGTGGCATGCTGCGGCCGAGAGACGACGCGTCGCCCGTGACGTCACAACGATGGCGTCGTGTCTCCGGCTCGGTTCGTTAAAAAGTGTATCATTGAAAAATTAATAAAAAAGATTCGGTCCAGAAGTGTGATATGAATAAAACATCAACTGAATGGTATAGAACTGTAAGCATGCTTCCGCTAGCTGACGCGAGCTCACGACTGACCAATAAGAAATCTTCAGTTTCCGTATTTGCCAGTCGCTTGTCGTCGCTGGTCAGCCAAGAGGCACGGTCCCGCGCCGTCTTGTGCCTATGTCACAAGCTCTGTGCAGACTGAGTCTATTGTAGTACATTATGTATTAGTTATGCGCGAGCACCAAACAATGCTACACTTATTCTTTGCCAAAATTGATTGGACTAAAGAACATCATCCAACAGTTTTGTTAAAAGTGTAAAAGTTCGATCAAATCATACCACAATAGAGCTGAAAAATCTGAGTTCTGCATTATAGTCAAATACCAGCAGGATTTGCTGGAAAAATAAATCATATGACGTCATGTTCGAAGAGGCATTTAAAGTAATCTACACACCACATATTTTTGAATGGTCGGCACTCCCTTTTTGACAAGAATCATCCATAAATGATGATGATACCTGTTTCTACTGTTATTGTAGCATTATTAGTTGCTCGCACGGCGGTATTATCGTGATGCACACAGTCTATGCAGCCTACCACCTAGTCACACTGCGGCTAGCACCATCCTGGCGACCGAATCTGAACCTCAGCGCGCAGGATTAGAGTATGTTGTGGTTTGCGCTACGTCAGGCCACGATCACATGAGCCAAGCTAAACGCTAACATGACAGTGCTGTATGTCTCGAATTCTCGATGTAAGTATTAGGTGTGGCATTAGTGTCTCCATGACGACGTCTACTCGCTGTGAAGGATCCGATACGACGACAATGTTATTTACATTAAATTAAATTCTATTTCAAATACATAAAGGGTGTGAATTGTTTAATTTAACATTTCAGAGGTATTCTGAACAAACAAATGCATTCCTAACACTGATCTATCAACACGTGATGCCCTACGCAAAGTTGGAACTCTTCATGCAAAAACAAAACCACGCAGTGTTGCCGAAAATCAAACTAAAACGTTTCACTAAGATCGATTTTGGTGTCTGTTCGTGACTATCTTCTCATCATGATTGCTCATGATTTTTCATGTATTTTAACAACTGTAATGATTAAAGGATATCCTCGGTCTATTAACTTTCGACAGCTTCGACTTCTAAACGTATCCAATACTTAAGGTAATTGCTGCTAAAATAAATACAATGAAAAACATAATCTTATTATAATTTAGACTTATTGAGATAATAATCCAGTCTTCAGCAACACTGCCAAGGATGTATCGGGGCAAAGCATCTATGCTAGTCGGTCGGTCACAGCAGTAGACGAGTACACAATATTAGTTGTCCCACTCCAACAACGAGTCGGACGCTGCCTGATCCGAGAACAAAAACACTTGCACTAAGTCTAGAACAGATCAAGCTAAATTCGTGATGGAATGATTGCGAGAAAAAGGGAGATGTGAAGATACAATAATCACTTTTATTATAAGGAGTTAAAGTCTAAATACTTACACATTTATCGTTCTTTTAATTTGGTAAAAATAATGTTCACTTTATCTAGAAAAAGCTTTCAGTGAAAGAGAGCAACTCAATTGAAAATTACACGTAAAATATCTATTTCAAGCTTACACAAAATGAGTTGTGATGGAGTTCGATGACGGCGAGTGACACGTTTGAATCCGACAAGCAGTTGCGGGCAATGGAGGGTTAGTATGAGGGGTCCACAATCCATACATCAGACCACTAACACACCGATCAGGCAACGTCCGGTACAAATGTTTCACAAATCAAGGACCGAGCGTTTATTCTATCTGTACTACGCGCTTACATTATACAAGCCACATGTATCTTGTTAAAACTAGTCCTTCCTCACCAAAACCGTTATCGACATAATACTTAATCTGGGCATGCATATCTGTGCTTAAGTTAACATATATGGAAGTTGTGTCGCTCGCGGCTACCGGAACATCGACCACCAAACTATAAGTTGAAACATGTCAAAGCGCGGGTGATGGGTAGCTCGTCTCAAACCAAAGGTAGTTGCGTGCCGTGACATTGTAGCCTTAAGCTCGAGATAGAGAGTTATCACAGAATGGAACAGATGCTTCGAAAGTGCTAAGAATCATGGACGCCACATAGCATACGGTCTATCGGATGCTTAAGAATGTGAGCCATCGTCTGGCCTGTCACAAGTGAGCCACCCCTGAGGACTGCAGCTAAGGCCTGTAAAACCAAGCTCCTATTAAAAGTAATTAGCACTTTGGAGGCCAAGTCTCTATAGCTATAAAACCATTTAAAGAAAAATCTGCTGGATAAAGTATGAAGAAAATAAATGCTAGTAAAGAAATTGATAATGTGTATTAATTTATAGTGTGTAGCTACAACATCCATGGCACGCCGGAAGTATCTCTAGAGCCAGTGGCGTGCCAGTTCAGCGCTGTTCTGTTTGTTAATAAAGTCATTTTAATGTCACAAGTGTATAGAATGAAAATGAATCAACGTTAATTTAATCCTTTACCAATAAAAATGTGATATGAAGCGTGTACAAGCGCAATACGCACACAGACCACGTGAACCGGCATCGCTTTAGCACAAAACGTTTTTACCAAGTATTTAAAACACTAAAAACAGCGAATTGTTCAGCGCAAATGTAACAAGTCCAACCTGGAACGGACAACCACGGGAAGTGTGTACTAAGCAGACAAACGCACCAGACCTAAAGCTGTAAGAACTAGGACCAAACCACATAACAGGGGTTGATCTCGCGCGAATTCATATCCACCACTCACTTGGTTTAAATTATAAAGGATTTAGTTATCCTCAGAAAATAATTATGCTAGTGCTAGTCATTAGTTAGTTACTAAAAGCACAATAAAACAGTAACTTATTATTTAATTATAGTTTTCTAATATTGAAATAAGTGCATGGTTGAATATGATTTGCACGAGGTCGTTTAGCTCGTCGACTACGGACCCGATTACTATCAGATACAACTCGAACAAGCCACAGATCCAGCCAGTCACAAATTAATTACAAAACCTTCCGTACGAGTATTAATGTAGCGTTATGGGCTATAGTGCGCCGGAGACGTTATAGACAGGTATTTGGAAGGGAGTGTTAAGGTGGGAGGTGTGAGACAATTATCGGTTTATATGGACGATATCATACTGTCCAGCAGTACGATACAGGAGCATGCTAAGGATTTGTATGGCTGAATAAACGTTTTGAATATTACATTTATATGGTGTTAAACAAATAGAATAGATAAAAATAATGTATATTATTTGTAACAAATAACGTTTATCACTCTTTTTACAGTGATTTTAGTCAAATTCAAATAAATGTATTGTTTTAATAGATGTTAAAACACTTTGAGGAAGTAACTATAATGATATTTTGCGGAATGACGTTCTGCGTCAAAACCTAAATCTTAAGCCGCACGACTCAGTCTACACATCATGCTTTTTATGTTATGTATGTATTTGTGTCTTAATTTTTGGCTTTTTTTCTTAGAATATGAATATGATATCTGATGATATCAATTTCATCATGCCAAACAAACTGTCGAGCCATACTAAGGTCAGGATGGGATCTACGGGGCTGTTCCCTAGCGCCTCATTATGGAACTGTCTATTTCTCTCGTCTCAAAGCGATGTTTATTGACAGCCCCTTAAACCAGAAGCAACCTAAATGCAGTTTCGCACATCGAATTCGAATCCAGAAAAATCGGATTTAGTGCGTACACACGTAAATAGTTATACGACTTTTCCGAACCGTATTTTCACTGATTCGGATCCGGAAACCGCTCCAACGCCGCTTCTGTCATGTTCGTCTGTCTCTGCTATGAGGCGAGAGGCAAGGACAGTTCCTTGAGACATTCCGGAGACTACAGACTTAGTCGGCCGATAGTTAGGCCCGATTCTAATTTGTAAGAATCGGCCGATACCAATATGCCTGTCCCAACTATCGTCCAACGAAAAGTCTGCGGTCTGCGGCTAGACTTAGACTGTTTTTAGTGGCACGCGGACCGGCTCCGTATCCGTACGTCCAATCTGTATGAACTTCTAGGAAACGTTTAATTTTGCAACAACATATAAATTGTAATGTGACATGCAATAAACGTTTGAATTTGAACGTTTTAGAGTAATGCGGTCCAGAGAAACCGCTCGCTCCCTAGCAGTTCATACAGATCGGCCGTGCGGAGCGATCCGCACTGACAGTCCGCGTGACACTAAAACCAGCCTTAAGCCGGTTGCAGACCAAGAGCTAAGCTAAGTTAGTTTCGTTTAGCTCGCATAGCTGACGCAGTTTCCCATAGTCGTGTGTAGATTGAAAACTATGCAAATTCTATGGGAAACTGCGTCAGCTATGCGAGCTAAACGAAACTAACTTAGCTGAGCTCTTGGTCTGCAACCGGTATTAGGGAATAGTCTCGCTGAGGATAGGACGAGACGGGACGTGTCGGGACGGGTCGGGACGGGTCGGGACGGGTCGGGTGACGTCAGTACCTGGTAGCGCAGGTGCGGCGCGTGCAGCGCGGGCAGCACGGCGCCCCACAGCTCGCCGGCCGCGCCCGCCACCTGCGACCTCCACGCTACACTCGCGGCCACGGCGCTCGAGCGCGGGCCGACCTGACCACGACTTGGCTTTGAGACGGTGCTCGGTAGGAATCAGGAATGCATTGCAAGTATTTAGTTTCAGATGAAATTGTGTTAAAGCTAACGATTCTGAAGTCACAAAAGGGTAGATGGAGGTAGAAAGAGATATCCCACCAAAAACATTCTGTAAAAAACTAGCCAAGTCTCGATGGAGCTGCTTGTTTATCTCTAAAAAGTAATGAAATCTAGACAAAGTCGTGCCAAGTCTATGGTTCCTTACTGCGATTTCTTTATTATTATAGTTAATATTGTGTGACTTGGCCGTTGGAGGGTGACAAAACCAGGTGCTCCATGACACCAATCTGTCGCCAGAACCGCTACCCATTGACGATGGAAAATTGCCACTTGGAAAACGTTGATTCAACAATAACCAGTCAATTGTAGGTTTAGTAAAGCTGCGTATTTATAATTTTTTATAGTTTTCCCTTTATGTGGCCATTAAACCCTAACTCTGTACCAAATTTCAGCTCTCTGAGTTTATGGGAAGTACTAGTTCTATTTTGATGATCATCAGTGAGTGAGTGAGTGTCGTAAATGCGAAACTTTGCTTTCGCTTAACTTCGGAACTAAATGACCTACAGACTTGAAATTTTGGATTTTAAGTATGTGATTATAGCTTACTAGATGACGAAAATTTCTGTGTTCTGGTCTTATCCAGAGGTTCTCAAATAGGGGCCTGAAAATGCGGCGAAATGGTTCCGGTAAAGGATGGTACGGCAGTGTTTGCTTCGCGCTCGACTTGGCGGGGGCACTGCCGTGCCCCCAGATATTTTTATAAACGTTTGTAGAGCTAGCTCAAAATGACATACTACAAAAATCTAAATATTTGACTTAACCTTTTAAGCCCCGCAAATCGAGGCAAAATAGTTATTCAATTGTTCACCGCCATGCGGTCATATGCGACTGCTTAGGGATTGATGGGATAATATCTAGTCTTGTATTTACACTAAAATAAAAAGGCATTTTAAATTCATTTCATTGCAATTTCACGTATCATTAGATTTTTCATCTATTTTGTTTATAACAACAAGATCATCTGTCCATAATATTGCTTTTTAAATTCCTGATTCCCGAGTCACATTAATTTAAAAGAATAAAAGAAAAAGTCACGTCCGGTCGCCCCACGTTCCAAAGCTTACAACAGAAACTTAAAAATATCTTACAAACTAGACTAACAATATTTAAATTTAAATAATCTTAAACTTAAACCTGACTTACGCATCGCTTACAATCCTGTATAAGTCATATGCTATGCCCAGATTTGTGAATGCTAAAAGAATTATCCTAAAATACACAAATCAATTTATAAAAACTGAAAATGCACCTTCAACCAAAACAATGGCATGTATTCCAAAAGTGAAAATATCAATTTTTGAGTATGACACACAGTTGTGAACAAAGATATCGGTATGTTTTAACTTTTAACTACCTATACGGGCTGACGGCTAAAACAATAATAGTGACGTTTGAATTTGTTCATAATATTGGGATAGGTGTTCATTTCATGTTTTGTTTTATGCTACTGTCAAAATGAATCTAGTCTTATTTTGTTGTGTTCCATACAGATGTTGAAAAGTATACACTGAGTAATAATTATTCCGTTTTTATCGCGTACAATAAACTAATACTGTTGTTGGTTTAAACTAGTCTCTGTAATAAAATAACATTATTTTTCTTATTAGATACATCTTCAAATTGGAGATATGTTCAGTATTTCTGTTGTTTTTGATGATATAATTAATAAAAATTTACCTACATGTCATTGCAGGGAAAACGAAGATATTACAATGTCATCCATGTAGTCACGACGACAAAATGTTAAAAATAACATTTGGAATTAAGTCAAAGGAGGTAATTAAAGATTGAAACTTGAATGCACTCCAAAATACCTGCAGTTTGTTATAGAAAAAGGGGCTGCAGGTGTATGCATTGATGAAATTCTTTGCTAATGCAACATCTGATGAGATGCTGATTGAAAGTCAAGGGCACTTTTAGAGAAAAGCGGAGGGAGGGCTCTCTCACTCTCATCGCAAGAAAAGGTGATAATGGCTTTCACATAGCCAAAAGCTGCAAGCTTTAAAAGTCAAAATAGTTATGACCATGACAAACAATAACGCTTAACACATTTTTATTGATAAAAAAATGGGGGCCAGTAAAGTGTTTCATGAAATTATACCACCCTATCTTGACTGTATAAACATTTCAAAGACAATTTGTCTATTCCGTCCTACTGAACATATCCCCACTCGCGGCGCGTCACCTACTCGTCCCACATACCTGCGTGCGAGGCGCGTGGTCCCGCGCGTGGTGCGCGTGCGAGTGCGCCGGGTGCGCGTGCGGGTGCGCATGCGCGTGCGGGTGCGGCCACACGCCGCCGCCGCCTAGTGCGCTTAAACGCGCGCCTCGCAGCGACATCTGGGAAGGAAAACGTAGAAACATTAAAGACTAAAGTCTGGTCTGTGAGCACGTAGAATTTTGTCCAATGACCCCAAGCTACCCAACAAGTCGTCAAGTCACGAAGCTGGTTTTCAGCGGGTACCAACATGGGGGTTAATACGCCAATTATGAGCCCTTTTGACAGTGACGGTTTTCCCACCTCTCGTTCCCACCACTGCAACTCCTGTGTAGACAGGATCTCCAGCTTGACTGCCAATAAAAACTCAACCAGCGAAGGTCAAGTTTGTGCTGGGGGAAAGTTAAACTGTCCTTGAACCCGCAACGAATAATGAAATTATATGGCGTGTACTACAGGGTGTCGCAATGTCTTTATGAAGACAAACACCACGCATTCTTTCACCAAGCGTTTCTTCTAATAGTGGAAATGTGACATTTTCATGTTACATTAAGAACTTTAAAAAGAAGCACTTAGTTAAGACTTAGTTAAGTCATTGGACCCGCAACGAAATTAAGGTTCGACTTCCCTCCATTGCAAAGCGGATGACAGGTGACAAACAAAGGTTTAAAACCTTTAAGAAAAGATTATGCACCACGGACAATAAATATCAATTAAGGGGGCCTATCTTATGAGCAATTAGCAAAAGTGACGGTTATCATCTTACTACTAAAGCCTAGTCCGTGAGCACGTAGAATTTTGTCCAATGACCCCTAGCTACCCATCCTTATCGCTCGCGCGTAATTATGTTGCTGTCGCGCTCGCACACTCACTGCGGGCGCCCATCGCACAGTCGCGACAGCAACATAATTACGCGCGAGCGATAGGGATGGGTAGCGTGGGGTTATTGGACAAAATTCTACGTGCTCACAGACCGGGCTTTAGTACGGAGTTATTCCCACGATCTCCAGCTTGATACCCAAGTCTGAAGCAGGTGGTGTTACCACTAGACCACGAGGCGCAGTGGCGGCGTAAGGCGTAGGCGACGTGGGCCACCGCCTACGGCCTCGCGGAACAAGGGGCCTCGCGCATCAAAAATTTTGAAAAAATGTATACAAGGTGGAGATGACAATATCACAATACGACAATAAATGCTTGACTATTAAATATAAATTCTTGATAGCTAAACAATGTAGTTAAAAAAATATATTTTTTTCCAAACAAATTCAGCCATAATCAGACACAAAATTAAGCAACAACACGGACGAACATTATTCTTTGGCGCAATATTCCTTTAAAAATAATCACTGAATCAAGAAATCAGAAACTGTCAATGAATAGACCGTTGACCCGTTTTTTTTTTTTTTTAAATCCGTCTTCAGGTCGTTACAGAACAAGGCCTCGCGAAATCTGTCTTGCCCACATCAAATTTAGGTCTTGCCCCGCCACTGACGAGGCGGTCGAACGCGGGCAGGGTCCTCACCTGGTTGATGTCGAGCAGCACGGGCGCGGCATGCGGCGCGTGCGGCGCGTGCGCGGGCCGCGGCGCGTGCGGCTCCATCAGCCGCTCGTGCGCCCACGCGCCGCGCGCGCCGCCGGAAACGTAGCGCATTCGCCGTCTGCAACGCAGACAACCATTCATTGAAAAAGATTATTCACAGATGCTACTACTATGTAGCCAGGATTTTCAGCTTGAATTCTAACTAATCAAGTTTGATGTACACTGTATAATATGTTATCATAAAAACAGTTGTAAGCAACGTTATTTTCTTAAGTGGCTAGGGCTCTAGCTAGTGTTTTAAAAATAAGGGATCATAAATCGCTCGTGCGCCCACGCTCCTCGCGTGCTGCCTGATACGTAGCGCATGCGCCGTCTGCAACGCAGACAACCATTCATTGAAAAAGATTATTCACAGCTGCTACTACTATGTAGCCAGGATTTTCAGCTTGAATCCCAACTAATCAAGTTTGTTGTACACTCATCAGTTATGTTATCATAAAAACAGTTCTAAACAACGTTATTTTCTTGAGCGGCTAGGGCTCTAGATAGGGCCTTAAAAATAAGGGACCACGAGTCGCTCGTACGCCCACGCTCCTCGCGCGCCGCCTGACACGTAGCGCATTCGCCGTCTGCAACGCAGACAACAATTCTTTAAAAAGGATTATTCATAGCTATCTTTCTCACTGCTGCTACTCCTGTGTAGCCAGGATAAACAGCTTGAAACCTGTGTTGAAACCCAACCAATAAAGGTCAAGTTTGTTGTACGTTCATTCGTTCGTTTCAGCCGAAAGACGTCCACTGCTGCACTGGACAAAGACCTCTCCCAAGGATTTCCACAAAGACCGATTCTGCTCCGATCGCATCTAGGCACCTCCCGCTGTTGCTACTGTTTTACACTTATAAGTCGACAGTCATAATTATAATAATCATAAAAACAGTTCTAAGCAACGTTAATTCCTTGAGCGGCTAGGGCTCTAGGGTCTATAAGGAACCTAACCTCATATCCTGGGCACGGTAGCGGTGCCTTGCAGTCACTGCTTCCTACCAAGTTTCAGTTGTACAATTTTTCGCTGGAGTCAGCGTTGTTTCCTTAATTAGTCGACCCTATTCCCCTAGTTGACAGAAGAGACGATACTTACGGAGGTTGGTAGTGATGCCGGGGCGTCCGTCTCTCGACGGGGGGTGCTGCGACCGACACATTGCTTTCGCCTGGAACACGAAAAGATGCACATTTTAATCTTTTTTCGGGCCTTGCGGTACATCTGCTCCTCTCATCTTCACCATCATCATTTCAGCCACAGTTCATCTACTGCTGAACATAGGCCTCCCCCAATAATTTCCACATTGTCCGGTTGGTAGCGGTCTGCTTCCACTACTACCTTTATGAGGTTGTCGGTCCACCTTGTGGGTGGAAGTCCCAGGATGCGTTTTCCGGTACGTGGCCTCCACTCAAGAATCTTGCTGCCTCTTCCACCGTCAGTTCTGCGTACTATGTGCCCTGCCCATTGCCACTTCAGCTTGCTAATTTGTCGGGCTATGTCAGCAACTTCAGTTCGTTTACGGATCTCCTCATTTCTGATTCGATCTCGTAAACATTTAGAATACTTAGAATACTTTTTATTTGAAAGAAAGGTATACAAGCAGGCAGAACATAGGCACAATATACAAGTGGGCAGATAGCTGCTTGTAAAAGGCACCCGCTCAGCATACATCAAGACCGCGCCTCGAAACTGATTTTCAGCGGGGGCCCTCTGTACTCGGCATTCGCCTGCTGACGGAGATGCAAGAGGAGAAAGGAGACCACAAGTCCGGCAGCAAGGGGCGTAATGTACAGGAAGAGAAAAAACTTAGGTTCCATGAGTTAAACTAAAGCCTGGTCCGTGAGCACGTAGAATTTTGTCCAATGACCCCAAGCCACCCATCCTTATCGCCCGCGCGTAATTATATTGCTGTCGCGACTGTGCGACGGGCGCCCGCAGTGAGTGTGCGAGCGCGACAGCAACAGAATTACTAGCGAGCGATAAGGATGATCACATGATCACGGACCAGGCTTTACAAGCTGTGCAGTTCCCAAACCTGAGGACAGATGGCGGGAGATGCGGCGGCGCTTGCGGCTGGGGCTGTCGCCGGCCTTGGAGGACAGCTCGCCGTCCGACGAGCCGCCGCCGCTCACCATGGACTCCACCGGCCCTTCCAGCGGGTTCGTGTCCTGGAATATGAGTGGCACTGTGAGATCCAAAGCTGGGAAGTTATAGAAAGATTGACAGTAGGCTAATGTTACTATGATCTAATAACCAATCTTTCTACACGAGCTGTTTATGAAACAGCGGGTCAGTAGCGACCTGCATGTTTATTATGACTTGACTATTTATTCTTCTGACGAGTATTGATAAGTTCTATGCCACAATAAGAGCTTCAAACAATAGTGTTCACCAGGCTTTGGTGCATCACTAAGAGTCTCAGGCATATGTTTAAAGATCGATGGACAGCTGGGTGATGAGGCCTAACCTGGCAATAATATTTTTAGTGTGTGGATGAAGTATTTTTTTTAAAGTCGTCAATGTTGGCGCCCCTAGAATACTATGCGTAAAGGAATTTCCTCCACATAACAAAAGATCTCATCATCATTTCAATATTTTCAACAACAGGAGATAGAACGTCCACTGCTAACCATAGGCCTCCCCCAAAGGGCCCCAATGATATCCAGATTGATGGCGGCCTCTGTCCAGCGCCTTCCTGCAACAAAAGTTCTATCATCTCCTCAGTCCCCCTCGTTGGAGTACTCACCATATGATGGTGGTGTGGCGGATGCAACAGATGTGGCGGCTCGGCGGACGGGCCGGCGCCCGCGCCGGGACTCACGCGCAGGTCTGCAACATCAAGAAGACAACCATCAGGAAAGGCACTTACACTCTGGTGAGAACTTGAATCAAGTACATCCCACCAAAAACATTCTGTAAAAAACTAGCCAAGTCTCGATGGAGCTGCTTGTTTATCTCTAAAAAGTAATGAAATCTAGACAAAGTCGTGCCAAGTCTATGGTTCCTTACTGCGATTTCTTTATTATTATAGTTAATGTTGTGTGACTTGGCCGTTATTTCGTTCTAATACAGTTGTATCCTGCCACGTGGTGTAGAGGAAATTGCTATTTTATAATTGTGATTGCCTAACGTGATTTGAAAATAGACACACTCAATATTTCACGATATGAGTATCCTACCTTCATCTCTATTTATCAATAACCCTATCACCATGGGCTGCTGGAGAAATTTCTTTATAGGTAGAGAAAAATTCAAAAGTACTATCTATAAATTGAAATTTTCACTTTATTTCATAAGGGAAATCCTGAATTTTCAGAACACACTCTCTATCTCTCTTATAAGTAAAATTCAACATGATTTCATAAGTGACAGCTACCTAACCAACGACATGGAATGGAATTTTCGGTGACGATCTTAAACTGTTGTAGGTATGACTCGTGTTGTTTAATAATTTCAACCTACAAATCGTATTGTTTATTTGTGGTGCCTTTCTCTTAAACTACTGTAATAACATTTTCTTTCCTTTTCCTCTGAAAATCATGGTAAATTGTCGTTATCAATAGTATCTTTTCAACTCTGTCACGAGCCTCCCCTCGCCCGCAGTTGCGTAAGGATTTCATTTGGGGCGCTCATTTGTACCAAAAGTAATTTTGGCATTTCGATTGGGTTTAAAAGCAACTCGTGAAAGCCTTTATGTGTCCTTATTTCGGCGGCTGTCCGCGTCCATTACTTGTGTTGATATTGATATTGAAATTTAATTTTTGGCGATTGTGTTGATTTATTTGCGATTTTAGATGTGATAGAGTGTGACTGATTATTTGTACAAAACTGACTGTTTCAGTTCAGTATTTCATTTAGGTTTTGCTGTAGAATCAGCCACAGTACCTAACATTTTATACTTTATAGCGAATACTTGTAGGGCGGGCGGTAGGTTTATTCATATGCAATAAGGAAATGAGCAAATAGTGATTTATATTCTTAACTATCTCGAATGATTACGTACAGTCAGCGTCAAATAGTTCATGACACCCAAAGTAACCAACTTTGCAGTCGCAATACGTCTTTGTGTTATCAAATTTTTGGCTATTTGGGTATCATTTCACGATGACTGCACTACCTATATTGCCTTTTTGCTCCGGTGTTTTAATAAAACTTCCGACTTTCCCTTCAAAATAAGTGCCCCGTAACTTTTCGATCCTTTCCCTAACCTTTGCGCTCAATTTCGGCGCACGCAACTCTTGCGCAAGCGTCGCGCTCGCGGGGAAAGCGCCACCCGACCATGCTGCTTTGATATCATTTCCATGGAGACCAGGAAACGGAATTGACTTGGTTTTGCTGCGGCAATGCTTATTATTGTATGATTTGCATATACTGAATATTTTCTAGAAATAATTAGCCGACTCTGTATGTACCGATTGCTTAAAAGTCGTTTTCTTAATCGCTAACCTCAGATTGTCCATGCTACTTTGGTTAAAACAAGCCATCTGAACTTTTTAAACATAGATTTTACTAAATCTCTTCTGAGAAAGTACATAAATAAATACGACACATCACCAACAGGAAGGCAAAGTCACGTAGAAAAACCAAATTAAATAACAAAGTTGGAAGAAGAACATGAAAGCGTGAAATTTTCGCATCAAGTGCAATATTTCCAAATAGAACAGTAGTTAAATGCCCAAAACCGTGAAATAATAAGTTACAAAAAAGGTGAGCGTGAAATTGATAAAAATGCAATTAAAATGATTTCAGTATTCTGGATGTTCAACAGTATGGGTAAAATCAACATAATAATTTTGATTTATCGTTTCCTTTGATTGATTTTTCTTTCGATGAAAAATAATTATTACACGATGATGAAGAATGAAAATAAAATATGATGCAGCTGAGAAGATACAAACAAAATAAGAAAGTGAGGGTTTTAAGGCCATTCCCAAAAAGATAACGCATGAAGCTTGTTTGGTTGTATAATAATGTAAGAACACATTTCCAGGTGGCGTAGCATGCTCGGTGCAGCAGTACCTGATCGGCGCCGATCAGAAGTGCCGGCGGCGCGGCGCTCGGCCCGACGGGAGCCGCCGGCGCCGCCGCCTCCTGGAGTCATACAAGGCCTATTAGCGCACCCAACACCAACCATAGAGTAACTATGACTAAAGGAGATGTGCCAGAGAAATCCTAAAGACACCAAAGTTGCTGGACTTAGTCGTCATCAACAAAGGGCGAGATCCATTTGCTAAAGTCACTTCTATCCTTCATGCACTTACATGCTAAACAGGACAGCATCAACTAAGAAAAGAGTCGGATGATTTTGATGAATTTTTAGAAGAACAAGGCACGCCTATTGTCATTACTCGCTGCACGCAAGTTTTACCTTAAAAGTGCAATAAAAGTGCAATGGCGAAGAGTCGCTCGTCGATCTATGAAGGAGCAAATGCTCAGAAGATTCCTATTGACTCTTGCCTTAAAGGCCTTAGTATAGTTTCAAGAACACAGCAGCTGGCAGAGAATTCCACTCGGCGGTGCACATTATGCAATAATGTTGACAGCATGGCAGAGGTAAGAGAGTTGGTTCGCTTCCACCTTCCGCTTGATCATCAATTTACACCAGGCGAGATGCAGGCCAAGAGTTTCCTCGTTGTGGAATAAAACTTTAGCACAACGTTAGTTAGAGCCTGCTGCGTATTAGCATAAAGGTACAAGTCCAAGATGGACTGCAGAACGCAAACTGCAAGCCACCAGGGTTTCTTTGAACCTTCTGCGGTCAACCGCAGCCTCTAGCTGTGTCGCCTGCTGTTGCAGTCTTCAGTCCATCTTGGACTTGTACCTTAACCTAGTGGCTGCTGCGTATACTGACCGATGCTGAGCCTCCTCTGGTCGTGGTACTCGTAGTGGCTTACTTTCAGAGGCAGCCCAAGAAAAGTTTCCTCGTTGTGGACAAAATATGTACCATAGCTTATAGCTGCTGTGTATACTGACCGATGCTGAGCCTCCTCTGGTCGTGGTGATGACGCACGTCGCGCTTGGCGGGCGCGGGCGGCGGCGAGTTGGCCACGCACGCCTCCTTCGGGCTGCCGGCGCTGCTGCCATCGCTGGAACAAGGAAATAGGGGTCAGAATGGCTTAGCAGGTACAAGGTTTTTTTGACGAGGTGGACAAAAGTGGTGTATAGTGTCACTGTTGGCAATTTTGAACCTGATCGATACAGTAAAAAAAAATGGAGGCTACAATAGTTTGAGCATATTCCATGTTTTGTTTTAATGGTGTTTGAAGTATGGCAATCATATAGCAATATAGGCGGATATTATTCCAGATTTCGTAGCAGGAATTATGCTCGTAAATAAATGCTAATGTGGTGAAGCAATAAAGTAATGAGTAAGAGTCGTAAGTCAAAATAAAAATTTACGTTTTCACGTTTAGGCACCTGATGAAATTTTGGGTCATAGATCCAGCAAATCTGTTTATGCTCACATAGAGGTGTTTGCTATAGACAATTATGATTTACCCCAGACATTTTCTGTAGCAAGACCCTATTTATCTTATTCTTATCTTATCNTTATACCTACATTTTTGCAATTCTAATAATTCCGTAACCGAAATTATCCGAGACTTTCGGATAATCTGAAATGATTTCATATCCGTGACCGTAACCGAAACCGGTATAATATTATTCTAATATCCGTAACCGTATCCATAACCGAAACTTCATATCCTTACTATCCCGGTTACCAAGTACAAGTGCAGGCAGAGCAGGTAGTAAAGGCGCGCGCACACGGGTGACTTTTGTCACAGTATGTCAACTACTAATTACTGTCATGGTGACAAAAGTTTCTGTGACTGACTGTACGGCAGTCAATCACAGAAACTTGAATTTTGGGCACATTAGAATAATAATTTTTAACCAAGGTAGATAAAGTTAAAAACGGGACTATTTCCAAAAAAACAAAAATTGTCGACAATTACAGCAAAAATTTACCAAGTGTTATACCATTTTGGAATCCTTACTAAATGCGCCAAATTATGACGTCACTTGCCACACTCGCGCAGTACATTTTTTTTCAGTACAGTCAGTTTAAACTAGGCAAAATTTTTATGTTGAAATTTTTTTTGGGAATAATGTATTTTTTTCATCCAAGCTGGAGCAGCTGGTTTTGTAATTTTGATAACAATTTAGAGAAGCATTATTCAGGGTTACATAACAAAAAAAAAATTTGGAAAACGTGAAGATTTGTGGCAACCCGAGCAAAAGGACCGTCCCCTGGAGTAGAATTTTTTGATTTTTTTTAAATGCCTATTATTTTTAAAATATGCCACATAGATTTTTTTTTATATTTTTCTGGTAACCAGCACAACTTGCCTCAACACCCAGTTCCGGCTTGACGTTACATTACGGGACACCTGTATATAGATAAAAAGGCATTTTAAATTCATATCATTTCAATTTGACGTATCATAATAAGGTTTTTCATCTAATTTTTATTAACAACAAGATCATCTGTGCATAATATTGCTTTTTAAATTCCTGATTCCCGAGTCACATTAATTTATACAAATGAAAGGAAAAGTCACGTCCGGTCGCCCCACGTTCCAAAGCTTACAACAGAAACTTAAAAATATCTTACAAACTAGACTAACAATACTTAAATTTAGATAATCTTAAAATTAAACCTGACTTACGCATCGCTTACAATCCTGTATAAGTCATATGCTATGCCCAGATTTGTGAATGCTAAAAGAATTATCCTAAAATACACAATCAATTTATAAAAACTGAAAATGCACCTTCAACCAAAACAATGGCATGTATTCCAAAAGTAAAATATCAATTTTCTTTTAGAGTATGACACACAGTAGTGAACAAAGATATCGGTATGCTTTAACTTTTAACTACCTATACGGGCTGACGGCTAAAACAATAAGTGACGCTTGAATTTGTTCATAATATTGGGATAGGTGTTCATTTCATGTTTTGTTTTATGCTACTGTCAAAATGAATCTAGTCTTATTTTGTTGTGTTCCATACAGATGTTGAAAGTATACACTGAGTAATATTAATTCCGTTTTTATCGCGTACAATAAATTCTAATACTGTTGTTGGTTTAAACTAGTCTCTGTAATAAAATAACATTATTTTTCTTATTAGATACATCTTCAAATTGGAGATATGTTCAGTATTTCCGTTGTTTTTGATGATATAATTAATAAAAATTTACCTACATGTCATTGCAGAGAAAACGAAGATATTACAATGTCATCCATGTAGTCACGACGACAAAAATGTTAAAAATAACATTTGAAACTAAGTCAAAGGAGGTAATTAAAGATTGAAACTTGAATGCACTCCAAAATACCTGCAGTTTGTTATAGAAAGAGGAGGCTGCAATTGTGTTCATTGATGAAAAACAGTCTTCTTTGGCAATGCAATATTTGATGAGATGCTGATTGAAAGTCATTATCTATCATCACAAGGGTGCTTTTAAAGTAGAGCGGAGTGAGATTTCTCTCTGCAAGAAAGTAGTAATGGCTTTCACATAGCCAAAAGCTGCAAGCTTTAAAAGTCAAAATAGTTATGACCATGACAAACAATAACGCTTAACACATTTTTTATTGATAAAAAAATTGGAGCCAGTAAAGTGTTTAATGAAATTATACCACCCAATCTTGACTGTATAAAGATTTCAAAGACAATTTGTCTATTCCGTCCTACTGAACATATCCCCACTCGCGGCGCGTCACCTACTCGTCCCACATACCTGCGTGCGAGGCGCGTGGTCCCGCGCGTGGTGCGCGTGCGAGTGCGCCGGGTGCGCGTGCGGGTGCGCGTGCGCGTGCGGGTGCGGCCACACGCCGCCGCCGCCTAGTGCGCTTAAACGCGCGCCTCGCAGCGACATCTGGGGAGGAAAACGTAGAAACATTAAAGACTAAAGTCTGGTCTGTGAGCACGTAGAATTTTGTCCAATGACCCCTAGCTACCCAACCTTATCGCTCGCGCGTAATTATGTTGCTGTCGCGCTCGCACACTCACTGCGGGCGCCCGTCGCACAGTCGCGACATAATTACGCGCGAGCGATAGGGATGGGTAGCGTGGGGTCATTGGACGGGATTCTGCGTGCTCACGGACCAGGCTTTAGACCACGAGGCGGCTCCTCACCTGGTTGATGTCGAGCAGCACGGGCGCGGCGTGCGGCGGGTGCGGCGCGTGCGCGGGCCGCGGCGCGTGCGGCTCCATCAGTCGCTCGTGCGCCCACGCTCCTCGCGCGCCGCCGGAAACGTAACGCATTCGCCGTCTGCAACGCAGACAACAATTCTTTACAAATGATTATTCAGGGCTATCTTTCTCACTGCTGCTACTCCTGTGTAGCCAGGATCTACAGCTTGAATAGGCTAGTTTCCTAAAAAAATTTTTTTAGTTCGTCATGTTTAATATCAAAAAATATTGGACACCTATATTTTTATTTGTCAATCTAACAAATAATTACATAGTTATGGTGCGTTGAAATTCCGCGCGACGTCACAAAGTGCGACACTTTTATGCACTCATTGACGTCACGAGCCTCTTCTTATGAACTTTGGCGCGCTTTATCTCTTTAAATTTTCATTAGTTTGAAAAAGTTAAAAATACGTGTAGAGTATTNAAAACAAAACAGAGAAATAGGCTGTCTACTGAGTCAATCACTAACCTACTGCATTCAAAACGACTTTTCATGGATGCTAATTGTTATGACTTAGAAATTAATTTAAAAATGACTGCGGCTATGGCCAAAGAATATTGGTACGATCCGAAACATTATGATAAATAATTTAATTTGTAAGATCTCCGTTTTTTGTGCCCAATCAAATCTCTACGCTATTTTTTATGTTAAACCTTCTCTTTTTATGTTATAAGTTGATTTTTATGGTGTTATATTACAATAATAAGTGAACTTTTTTTGGTAAATATAGCAATTTGATTGAAAATTGTATTTTTATTTCATATACCGATTTTAGGTACATATGTACCGATTTTTAGTTGGCAACTCTACCGATTTGGCTCATTGACGTTCGAGACCACTGCCGCCACCTGACATGACCCACCCCGCGATTCAGATAGTTGGTGATTATTGCAGTGAATAATTAACCTATGTGTGAGTGAATTGAACAGTTTTTATTTCTGAATTGTTTTGAACATTGAATCTCATTTATTTGCGATATCTGCAGAAGCTTATTACTGTAATAGGTACTTAGTGTATTGAAATTTGACAGAAATACCACCTAACGTTCACAAATAAAGCTTTTTACATTTTATTCTACTTTTTAATTTAAGATATTGCTTATATCAATCGTAATTGTAAACAAATACATTTTTGATGTACATTACGTACATGGTGGTAATGGACAACACGCATAAGTTGTAATATTAAGTTAAATTATAACTTAATTTAAAGTTTAGATCACACACATTACACTAGTTTTTATTTCACCTCAATCCATCCAGTATTACCGAAGATAGAGCCTCGAGAAGTTTACGGACTTTTTAAAATTTTCAAAAATTTCCAATATTCGCGCGTGACGTCACAACATGATTTTGCAGCCCCCGCACGTTAACCCATTTACCACTTTTTGTCAATAGGCTAGTTTCCTAAAAAAATTTTTTTAGTTCGTCATGTTTAATATCAAAAAATATTGGACACCTATATTTTTATTTGTCAATCTAACAAATAATTACATAGTTATGGTGCGTTGAAATTCCGCGCGACGTCACAAAGTGCGACACTTTTATGCACTCATTGACGTCACGAGCCTCTTCTTATGAACTTTGGCGCGCTTTATCTCTTTAAATTTTCATTAGTTTGAAAAAGTTAAAAATACGTGTAGAGTATTTTTTGATAAGTTAACTGACGGACTAATTAAAACTCTTGCTTTTTGACCCAGGAAACATCCCTATTCCAACTAATCAGTTATGTTATCATAAAAACAGTTCTAAGCAACGTTATTTTCTTGAGCGACTAGGGCTCTAGATAGGGCCTTAAAAATAAGGGACCATGAGTCGCTCGTGCGCCCACGCTCCTCGCGCGCCGCCTGACACGTAGCGCATTCGCCGTCTGCAACGCAGACAACAATACATTGAAAAGGATCTTTCTCACTGCTGCTATTCCTGTGTAGCCGGGATCAAAAGATTGAAACCCGACCAATAAAGGTCAAGTTGTTGTACACACACTCATCAGTCATATTATCATAAAAATGTTTTAAGTCCAAGCAACGTTATATCCTTGGCTAGGCAGCTAGGACTCTAGGATCTGAAAAATAAGGGACTCTACCCTCAGTACAGTAGGATGTTATTTTTCGTCCTAACCTCATATTCTAGGCACAGAAGTGGTGCCTTACAGTCACTGCTTCCTACAAAGTTTCAGTTGTACAATTTTTTGCTGGAATCAGCGTTGCTTGGTCAATTTTCTGACTTCCTTAACTAGTCGACCCTATTCCCCTAGTTGAATAGAAGAGACGATACTTACGGAGGTTGGTAGTGATGCCGGGGCGTCCGTCTCTCGACGGGGGGTGCTGCGACCGACACATTGCTTTCGCCTGAAACACGAAAAGAGTCTCATTTTATCCTATTTTTACGCCTCGGTACACCTGCTCCTCTCATCTTCACCATCATCATTACAGCCACAGTTCATCCACTGCTGAAGATAAGCCTCCCCCAATGATTTCCACATCGCCCGGTTGGTAGCGGTCTGCTTCCAGCGCCTAGTACCTTTATGAGGTTGTCGGTCCACCTTTTTTTTATGCTAGACAAGGCAGGTATTTGACCGCAATCGCACCTGGTGTTAAGTGAGATGCAGTCTAGGATGGTACATATCTGCCATATAAGTGCCTATTCACTCTCGCCATGAAAACGCCCGGATTATAGTGTTCAGGAAATACAGCAGCAGGCAGCGAATTCCAGGCGGCACCTTGTGGGTGGAAGTCCCACGATGCGTTTTCCGGTACGTGCCTCCACTCCAGAACCTTGCTGCCCAATCCTTAGGGCTATGTAAGCGACTACTTCGTTTACGGATCTCTTCATTTCTGATTCAATCTCGTAAACACTTAGGGTTCCACGAGTTATATTACAAGCTGTGCAGTTCCCAAACCTGAGGACAGATGGCGGGAGATGCGGCGGCGCTTGCGGCTGGGGCTGTCGCCGGCCTTGGAGGACAGCTCGCCGTCCGACGAGCCGCCGCCACTCACCATGGACTCCACCGGCCCTTCCAGCGGGTTCGTGTCCTGGAATACGGATGGAATTGTCAGCTGCAGAGCTGGGAAGTCAGGAAGATTGGCAGTAGGGTAATGTTACTATGATCTGATAACCTATCTTTCTACACGAGCTGTTTATAAAACAGCGGGTCAGTAGCGACCTGCATGACTTGACTATTTATTCTTCTGCCGAGTGTTGATAAGTTCTATGCCACAATAAGAGCTTCAAACAATAGTGTTCACCAGGCTTTGTGTTTAAAGATCGATGGACAGCTGGGTGATGAGGCCTAACCTGGCAATAATATTTTTTATTATTTCCAATTGCCATACTAGTGTGTGGATGGAGTATTAAATTTTTTTTTTAAAAAGTCGTCAAGCTTGGCGCCCCTAGAATATTATGCGTAAAGGAATTTCCTCCACATTACAAAATATCTTATCCCACTGCTAACCATAGGCCTCTCCCAATGATCTTCAGATTGGAAGGTTGGCAGCGGCCTGCATCCAGCGCCTTTCTGCAAAGATCTATCACCTCCACTGTTGTCCTCATTATAGGCCCCTCCTAATGATATCCGTATTGGCCGGTTGGCCTTGGTAGCGGCCTGCATCCAGCGCCCTCCTGCACAGGCCTAAGATCAACCACCTCCTCAGTCCCCTTCGTTGGAGTACTCACCATATGATGGTGGTGCGGCGGATGCAACAGATGCGGCGGCTCGGCGGACGGGCCGGCGCCGGCGCCGGGGCTCACGCGCAGGTCTGCAACATCAAGAAGACAACCATCAGGAAAGGCACTTACACTCGGGTGAGAACTTAATCAAGTACATATTTCGTTCTAATACAATTGTATCCTGCCATGCGGTTTAGAGGAAATTGCTATTTTATTATTGTGATTGCCTAACGTGCTCTGAAAAGGGACATACTCAACATTTCACGATATGAGTATCCTACCTTCATCTCTATTTATCAATAACCCTATCACCATGGGCTGCTGGAGAAATCTCTTTATAGGTGGAGAAACCTACAAATCATATTATTTATTTGTGGTGCCTTTCTCTTAAACTACTTTAATAATATTTTCTTTCCTTTTCCTTTGAAAATCATGGTAAATTATCATTATCAATAGTATCTTTTCAACTCTGTCACGAGCCTCCGCTCGCCCGCAGTTGCGTAAGTGATTTCATTTGGGGCGCTCATTTGTGCCAAAAGTAATTTTGGCATTCGATTGGGTTTAAAAGCTACTCGTGAAAGCCTTTATGTGTCCTTATTTCGGCGGCTGTCCGCGTCCATTACTTGTGTTGATATTGATATTGAAATTTAATTTTTGGCGATTGTGTTGATTTATTTGCGATTTTAGATGTGATAGACTGTGACTGATTATTTGTACAAAACTGACTGTTTCAGTTCAGTATTTCATTTAGGTTTTGCTGTAGAATCAGCCACAGTACCTAACATTTTATACTTTATAGCGAATACTTGTAGGGCGGGCGGTAGATTTATTCATATGCAATAAGGAAATTACCAAATAGTGATTTATATTCTTAACTAAGTATCTATCTACCCAATAATTACGTACAGTCAGCGTCAAATAGCTCATGATGACACCCAAACTCAAAGTAGCCAATAAGTTCGCAAACGTCTTTGTTATAATTATAATAACGTTGTTTTATCAAATTTTTGGCTATTGGGTGTCATGAACTATTTCACGATGACTGCACTACCTATATTGCCTTTATGCTCCGGTGTTTTAATAAAACTTTCGACTTTCCCTTCAAAATAAGTGCCCCGTAACTTTTCGATCCTTTCCCTAACCTCTGCGCTCAATTTCGGCGCACGCAACTCTTGCGCAAGCGTCGCGCTCGCGGGGAAAGCGCCACCCGACCATGCTGCTTTGATATCATTTCCATGGGGACCAGGAAACGGAATTGACTTGGTTTTGCTGCGGCAATGCTTATTATTGTATGATTTGCATATACTGAATATTTTCTAGAAATAATTTGCTGACTTTGTATGTACCAATTGCTTATAAGTCGTTTTCTTATTCGCTAACCTCAGATTGTCCATGCTGTTTTGGCTAAAATAAAACCAGCCATTTGAACAACTTATCAAATATAGATAATTTTTTATATTCCTCTTCTGAGAAAGTAAATGAATTCATACCACCAAGAAGAAGACGAAGCCACTTAGAAAAATAAAATAACAAAGATAAGTAGAGCAGTTCAAAGCTTTTTCCAAATAGAGCAGTAGTTTAATAATACGTAATACCCAAGACCGTGATTCGAGAAAATAAATAGTAACACAAGTGAATCTTTTACAAAAGTCGCGTCGCGATGAAAAATAAATAAATACATGATGATGTGATGAAGAATGAAAACAAAATGTGATTCAGTAGAGAAGATAGAAACAACATAAGAAAGTGAGGGTTATAAGGCCATTCCCAAATAGATAACGTGTAAATCATGTTTGGTTGTAACAGTGTCTCTAGATACAAGGACTGAACTATTATTTAAAATTGATAATATAATCAGTACTTGATAAATAAGTGATTTGTGGCTTTTGGGGAATGAAAGAGAAAAGGACGACCGAAGAAGATGAAAAGAGGGAATGGATGACCACTCATAGGAATACGTAAAGGGAACCCAAAGGGCAAGAGCAGTAAATGGATAAGTTCAAAAAATAATTTCTTTTCTGAAATTATTTCTACATTTATCCAAGGATATTTGTTAATTTTATTTTGTTTCGATCTGGAGACACTGTCAGCTTTAAGATAAACATAATCCAGGTGGCGTAGCATGCTCGGTGCAGCAGTACCTGATCGGCGCCGATCAGAAGTGCCGGCGGCGCGGCGCTCGGCGCGTCGAGAGCCGCCGGCGCCGCTGCCTCCTGGAGTCATACAAGGCCTATTAGTGTACCCCACACCAACCATAGAGTAACTATGACTAAAGGAGATGTGCCAGAGAAATCCTAAAGACACCAAAGTTGCTGGACTTAGTCGTCATCAACAAAGGGCGAGATCCATTTGCTAAAGTCACTTCTACCCTTCATGCACTTACATGCTAAACAGGACAGCATCAACTAAGAAAAGAGTCGGATGATTCTGATGAATTTTTCGAAGAACAAGGCACGCCTATTGTCATTACTCGCTGCACGCAAGTTTTACCTTAAAAGTGCAATGGCGAAAAGTCGCTCGTCGATCTATGAAGGAGCAAACTTGCTCAGAAGATTCCTATTGACTCTTGCCTTAAAGGCCTTAGTATAGTTTCAAGAACACAGCAGCTGGCAGAGAATTCCACTCGGTGGTGCACATTATGCAATAATGTTGACAGCATAGCAGAAGTAAGAGAGTTGGTTCGCTTCCACCTTCCGCTTGATCATCAATTGACACCAGGCGAGATGCAGGCCAAGAGTCTCCTCGTTGTGGAATAAAACTTTAGCACAGCGTTAGTTAGAGCCTGCTGCGTATACTGACCGACGCGATGCTGAGCTTCCTCTAATCGTGGTAGTGGCTCACTTTCAGATGCAGGTCAAGAGTTTCATCGTTGTGGAACAATGTAAAATGAAATGTAAACAAATGTAGCATAGCGTTAGAGCCTGCTGCGTATTAGCATAAAGGTACAAGTCCAAGATGGACTGCAGAACGCAAACTGCAAGCCACCAGGGTTTCTTTGAACCTTCTGCGGTCAACCGCATCCTCTAGCTGTGTCGCCTGCTTGTGTCTGTCTTCAGTCCATCTTGGACTTGTACCTTAACTTAGTGGCTGCTGCGTATACTGACCGATGCTGAGCCTTCTCTGGTCGTGGTACTCGTAGTGGCTTACTTTCAGAGGCAGCCCAAGAAAAGTTTCCTCGTTGTGGACAAAATATGTACCATAGCTTATAGCTGCTGTGTATACTGACCGATGCTGAGCCTCCTCTGGTCATGATGATGGCTTATTTTCAGTCAGATGAAGGCCAAGAGCTTCCTCGTTGTGGATAAACAATCTAGTGCTTAGAGCCTTGTGTATACTGACCGATGCTGAGCCTCCTCTGGTCATGATGATGGCTTATTTTCAGTCAGATGAAGGCCAAGAGCTTCCTCGTTGTGGATAAACAATCTAGTGCTTAGAGCCTTGCGTATACTGACCGATGCTGAGCCTCCTCTGGTCGTGGTGATGACGAACGTCGCGCTTGGCGGGCGCGGGCGGCGGCGAGTTGGCCACGCACGCCTCCTTCGGACTGCCGGCGCTGCTGCCATCGCTGGAACAAGGAAATAGGGGTCAATATGGCTCATCAGGTAGAAAGATTTTTAGACAAGGTGGACAAAAGTGGTGTACAGTGACACTTTTGGAAATTTTGAACCTGATCGATACAGTAAAAAAAACGGAGGCCACAGCCCACAGTGGTTTAAGCATACTCCATGTTTTATTTTTGCGGTGTTTGAAGTATATCAACATAGGTGGTTATTTTTTTATGTATGACAAGGCAGGTATTTGACCGCAATCACACCTGGTGGTTATTATGCCAGATTTCGTAGCAATTGTGCTCGTAAGAGTCGTATGTCTATACAATAATTTACGTTTTCGTGTTTAGGCACCTGATGAAGTGTGTCCGAGACAGCAAAAAAACTTTTTTATGCTCACATTTAGAAGTGTTTGCGATAGGCAATTGTTATTTACCCCAATCATTTTCTGTAGCAAGACCCTATTTAAATCAATATAAATAAAAACGAAAGGTCACTGATTGACTGACTCACTCATCACGAAATCTCAGAAACTACAAGTGCTAGAAGTCTTAAATTTTGCATGGGGGTTCCTTTTAGAACGTAGGAGCTCACTACGACGGGATTTTGCAAAATTCAACCCCTAAGGAGGTAAAACGGGATCCACGCGTACGAAGTCGCTGGCGGCCGCTAGTATTTCATATAAAGAAAATGGTATGTAACAGCACTTTCACTCGTACTTAACGAATAAGTACCAGGCAAGAGGTTAACATTTGAGCCTCAAGTAAATATCATTCTCTCTCAGTTAGTTGACGTTGCAACAGCCTTATCGCCTCTCGCGGGAACTAATATTTGAGCCGCGCTAGTCACACCGGCTTTATCAGTTCTCGGTACTTGGGTATTGTGGAATTACTTGAGTACAAATTGCAACTTGTTTTCAGGGAAAATCTATGTTAAGTACTTAATAACTATTGTCACTTCTTTGGTAATGTAATGATATGTCAATATGATTGTCGTAATTATGTTTGCTAAAGTAATTGATCTTCTTAATATTTTTAAGATTACTCAGTCACCAAGCTCAGTCATTGATAGAAAAACTTGAAAGAGTGTTGTGTAAATATTTATGGGTTTGGGTAGAGCCAATTTGAATTTGAAATACGTTTTTTCATAAAACGCGAGTGACTATGCAAACGTAATAAACTGAGATTAAGTACAGTTTATCAATTATTTTTAGAATATAATCTATTTAGAATATAAATCCTTATTGAGTAAGTTTGTATGATAGTCGTTTTGAACAGCTGGTGTCCGATAGCATTGAACTCGGGCGCGCCCGATTGAGGTGTGTTAACCCTTCGCATCTCGGGGCGGATCGATTCGGCCTTGAGAGGTTAATTGACTGCCTTAAATCTTGAAGTAAAAGGGCTGCCAATTTTAGCTCTTTTTCTACAAAAAGAAAGAGTAGCTATTATACAGGGTGGAATTTTGAAATGCCACCTGGGGAGAAAGTACTCTTAACTGTAGATAAAAAAAAAAACTCAAAGAGAACATTCCTTTATTTTTGAAAAGAAAGTTGAAGAAGAAAAATATTTTTTCGAATGTTCTGTAAATTACAGACATAGGCTGTTAAAAACAAGTTCGTCAACCCTGTGCGCGAGCTATCACGTGTTTTTGAACTCTATGATACACGCTACTTTACGCGTATTTCATTTTGTCATTGTTGCTTCATACACAAAGGATTCTCTGTAGTTTCACTGAATCGCACAGGTTTTTGTTGTACACAAAGAAAAATATATTAATTAAACTTCCCTTTTCACGCCAACTTNAACCGGTTTTTTTTCTTGGAAACCGAAAAAAAAATCGGTTTTTGATAAACTTTCGGTTTTGCATACCCTAAACGTAGCGTTATCAAAGTTTATTTAAGCCTGTAACGGGCGTAACTAGTTCTTCGTTGTTTTTGGACTTTAAAAAATTGTGGGAACTATATTCCCATTAAGATGTTTATTTTAATTAATTTATTTAGAAACTCAATGGTTTGAGGCATACCAACAACGTTACCTATAAAGTAATTACATGAAAATCTTACTTATAGAAGTTTCATTGATCTTAAACAACGAATAGAGCTTGTAAATAAAACTAATTTTCGATGATAATAATGGCCTAAAGAGATAATGCTTTACATAGTCTAGGAACATAAACACAGAGGTGCGTACATTATGCGTCAGCAGTCCCATTATACCCTAAGCTCTACATATCTACAACGAATGACACAACCACATGCTTTGTTTACATGTACAATTGTACATTGTTGGCTAAGTTGGCAGCTGCAGGTGAGAGCATACCGTAGTCGTTACCACCGAGACCGCAGTTCAACGGACCCCACGGGCCTTCACAACTGTTCCGGGCAGCGCCTGATAACGCACGCTTCGGTACTTAGTACTTACTAGTACAGTTCGTGACACACAAAGTGGCTAAAGGGCAACAAGGTTCTGTCTGGAGTGGAGGCCACGTAATGGAAAACAGGAAGGCGCTGGATGCAGGCCGCTACCAACCGTGGGATGTGGAAGTCATTGGGGGAGCCTATGTTCAGCAGTGGACGTCCTGTGGCTGAAATGTTGAAAGTGGCTAAAAAATTAAAACACCGCTTTATTTAAATTATAACAAAGACGTGTTGCAAATTTTTTTACTACATTAGGTGTCACGAACTGTTTGACGTTGAANATTCAAATTATATCAAATACGTGTTGCAAATTTTTTGTCTACATTGGGTGTCGCGATGTGTTTGACGGTGACTGTACATGTACACTCGCGACACAGAAAATATGACAAGGGTTCAGTGAGACAACTGACAGTATACAGATTAGATTAATACCTAACTTGATCCCGAATAATCAAAAGATATGTACTGTGAGCAGTTACAAATAATAACCCAAGGCTTAGGCCCAGTTTCCACTGAGGAGTGTTCATCAGTTGAGCGGAGAAGTGGCGTGGAAATAACGAAATCTGATTGGGTATTTAAACGCATAACTCTTCGCCTATGGTGGAAACCGGGCCTAACATATGCATTTATATTTAGCTTAGCTGGATGGGTTAACAGGTTACGCGGCGTCCAACGTGGTAATGACAATTTAATTAGATGTTGCAAATGTTCCTGTTTTAACAAATTTTTTTATAAATAAAACAGCGCCGGTCGTCGACACAAAATGCGTTTGAGTATTCCCACCACAGCAACTCCTGTACAGCCAGGATTTACTGCTTGACCTCTAATGAAACCCAACCAGTGAAGGTTGAGTAGTAGCTGAATGGCTAGCTGACTTGGAACCCCCAACGAATTTGATCAGAAGAATATGGTCGTTCGCAAGGTCAAGCTATATTTGGGACGTGTTTAAGCGCCCTGGAAAGGGCCTAAGTACTGAATAAAAGATATTATTTTCATTCCCACTGCAGTACTAACTCTGCTATGCACACAGCTCGCAAACAACGCCAGCTATCACAATATTGACAGTCACTGCAACAACGCGCGACTCCGGCGCAAGTGACGCACTCGGCATATATCGGCGATACCACAATCGTATGTGTGTGACCATACAAGTAGCGCAAAAGCAGTTTTGTCAGTCTTACTAGATATTAATGACCAAAATAGCTACGGTTTAGAAATATCTCCCAATCTATAATAAATATCTTTTGAAAAAGAGGAGTTCCTTCCGTCGAATTTTCTACTTTCGTCAGTTGTCTACTCTGTGCACTTTTGCCCAAGGCACAATCTCATTATGGCCCGGTTCTAAAAAAAAAATGTCTGGCTGACCATTCAGGCCTGCTGGTAAACAATCGATTTAATCAAAATTTTCAAAATTATATTTCTTAAGTATCTACGGTGCTCAGTGTCACTTAGCGTTTATCAACCGTAGTACAGTCGCACATACTGCAATACTTCGGACATGTCTCAAGGCGGTATGACATCTCCATAGAACGACTGGTCGTCAAAGGAAAAGTCGAAGGAACCCGATCACGTTACCAATGCTCTGGACCGAACAAGTGAAATCAGCAGTGGGAGACGGCGTATGTGACTGCACCAGACAGTCTGCCAACAGAGAGAGATGGCGGGAGATTGTGCGGAGAGTCGTATCCGCCTCTACAACCGATTTGAACAACGCCTCAACGTGACCACGACAGCTCTGCCAAGAGCGAAACGAATAAGAAGACGAAGAAGTATCTACGTAGGTTGAGGCATAATCGATTTTCGTTTTTTCGGCCACACTATCACTCGGGATGAACGGCCGCTGGCGCTGCGCACGCGCCGATACTGCGCCGATAACGGCGGAAACAACCATGTACATAATGCCTACTAATAATGCTCGAGATAGGGACTCTCACACAAAGAGAGCTGAACCAAAGCACATAATAAGTAAATGAGCTAAAGTTTCACCCCTTTTTCCTGACCCAAAAATATTTATAAAACTTGCAATTGATGTAAATAATTTGAAACGAAATCTCCCAAAAATATTTATAAACTTGCAATTGATGTAAATAATTTGAAACGAAGTCTTGAAAAGGTTAAAAGAATTTTTAAGGCAAGGGTAAAAAAGACTAGAAAATTTTCAAAACAGAAATCCACGGGGCGACTTCATGGGCAAAGGGTCATGGTTGATGTACAGTTAAAGATACTTTGTTACTTTTCGTCTTACGCCCGTATTCACAATCATTACTATGAGGTCTCACAGCGCGCGCAGGGTGACACATGAACAAATCATAGAGCTATGGCTCTGTTTAACGCTGTACGATCGATTTGCTGCTTCACTTAAGCAAGCATCGTTTGTGAATACGGGCGTCATTATCTCAGTTTGACAGACAGCTTGAGCTGGCATCCTCTAACCGTGACAGGAAATTGTAAGCGATACAAGCTCCGAGAGGCCGTTAGAATTAATTTCATTAACGTCTTCGCGTTAAAACATAAACAACAATGCGTGACGTCACCGCGGATCGCCGTCGCCGGTCAGGTCGTCCGTTGACTCAAGGTCCGCGAGTCGGATTTTATTGCGAG